TCTAAAACTTCCTCTCCTGCGCAATTCAGGGAGCAGGTACTCGATGATGTCCTCAAAGGTACCGGGGTTGGTAACGTGTGCCAGGTTGAACCCATCCACGTCAGAAACTTCGACCCAACGCTCCAGCTCATCGGCGACTGTGGTAGGGCTACCCACTATCTTGGCACCTAGACCGCCGATACTGAGGTATTCCACAATTCTTCGTTTGGTCCAAGGGAGATTGTCCGTGCCAGGGACGGTGTCTGACCAACGTCGGATGATGGACTGGATCCGTGGAGAGTCTGCCACTGAGAAGTCCTCATCATCTGGGTATCCAGAAAGGTCAATCCCCGTCCAGCCGCCGAAAAGAGCCAGGGCACCCTCGGTGTCCGCGTACTTCAGGTACTCTTGTTTCTGCGCTTCGGCCGCCTCATCTGTCGCTGCGACAATGACATTGATGCCGAGGATGATCTTGATGTGATTAGGATCCCTTCCCTCCTCCGCCGCAATCTTGCGCAGATTATCGACAGTCTTTCGGACGCCCTCCGCAGTCTGGCCGCCGATGAAGATGGCTTCTCCATGTTTACCACCAAAGCCGTTTCCAGCTTCAGACACGCCCGCCTGAAAGAGGAAAGGTGTTCGCTGAGGTGAAGGCTCAACGAAGTGCGGTCCAGGCACCTCAAAGTACTTGCCCTTGTGGTGGATCTGCTTAACCGCGTCACTGGCAATGTACATCCCAGTCTCGCGATCCGCCAAGACCGCATCGTCCCGAAAGCTGCCTTCCCAAAGCTTGTAGAGAACTTCTAGATACTCGTGTGCAATCGCGTAACGCTCGTCGTGCGGGATCTGCTCCTCTAAGCCGTGGTTCCGGGCTGCACTGTCCAGGTATGAGGTGACGATGTTCCAGGCCAGCCGTCCTTCGCTCAAGTGATCTACTGTTGAAAGCCGTCTCGCGAGTGAGTAGGGCTTTTCATAGGTCAAGCTCGCAGTCACTCCGAAAATGAGGTTCTTTGTAGCCTGCGCCATGGCTGGGACGAGGTAGAGCGGATCGTTGACTGGGAACTGTGCGCCGGAGGCCAAGGCTGGAACGACGTTGGCCGGTCCCTTGTATACATCATAGGGTCCTAGAGTATCGGCGATGAACATTGCGTGGAACCCGGCATTGTCGAGTAATTGGGCGAGCTCGGTCCAGAAAGAGAGCTTCTTGTATTGATCTGTCTTGTTGCGAGGATGTTTCCAGAGGCCGGGGGCCAGGTGGCCGGGCGTGTTCATGACAAAGGCATTGAGAATGAGTTGTTTCTTGCCGTTGGAATCATTGCGGCCTGTGGTAGGATTTGAGTTATCGGCCATGATGCGACTATTGCAAGGTCTTGGTTGTGATGCACTGTGTCTTGCAGTCTGTGGTTCCCAGCGGTGACGGCGTCAAAAGAAGAACAACAAACAGCTGATTTGGCATTTGAGTGCTTCAACATTGCCGACTGAAAGTAAGTTTATGCTCTTATCTCAAGTCGAAGGAATGCCGATAGCGCGCATTGTTGTAACTGCTGTGATCCAATAGCCTTGTCGCGATGAGTTGTGGGTGGCTCGTCTGCAGATTGCATCATCGCACGCAACCGATTGCGATCTGCCAAGCTAGCAAACCTCCGAGCAATGTCTCCGGCAGAATCGCTTAAATTCGAACGAAAGTCTAAAGTATGTCTACACCATAAATACCACCTTACAGGCGTATGTTATCAGTTCCCGGTCCGCAAGTAAGTAATCGTAGTTGCCGACATGGGTTGAGTTCATAACGCAATGCGGGGCAGCTAAGATGTGACCAAGAACTGGGGCCTTTTGATACCGATCTCGGTTCAAAGTCAAGCTTTGCGGAAACGGCTTGTGTTAAAGTAGTTCTGCTTGGCCTTGTTCAATGGATTCTGAATTTGATGTTTGAGCCTCCGCTTTCCATCTCATCGCCTCGCAAATCGACTTGCTCGTACACTGGGGATTTGTAGACAAAGATCTTGTCACAATGTCGGTTCAACTAGGTGTATCAGGGGAGACCCTGATTCCTCAGTCGACTAGTTATGGCATGCTCATCGGCCTTGGTATCGGTTTCTGTGGCGTTATTTTAGCAGCCGTCAAGATCCAGAAGGCATACTTGGCAGAAGATTCCGGCACCTCAGAGATGTTCATGGTGGCCAATCGGTCGGTTGGGACAGGCTTAACAGCATCGGCTGTATTCTCTTCTTGGATGTGGATCAATGAGACAGTATTTTCAGCAGCGTTTTGCTATAAGTTTGGCCTTGCCGTACCTTTTGTAAGTGCATTCGCCCCAACGAGACGATAGGCAAAGCTGTCGCTGATTCTCCGAGTAGTGGTGGTCAACAGGTCTCTGCTTCCAGATTGCCTTGATGGCAGCACTGGGCGTCTTGGCAAAGATTCGAGTTCCTTACGCGCACACCTCACTTGAAATTATTCGATTAAGATACGGATGGATCGGTCACATTGTCTTCATTATCCTCAACATCACAAACAACGTTTTTGGCTGTGCTGGTATGATCCTCACCGGGTCACAACTCATCTACGGTATCTCGGGCATGCATTTTGTCGCTGCCACGATTCTCATTCCACTTGGAGGTTGGTCGCGCCAATTTCTTTGAACCAAATGCAAACATGAGCTGACATTGGCCAACTCAGTCGTACTTTACACCGCGGTTGGTGGACTGAAAGCAACCTTCATAACAGACTATTTACATACTCTCATCGCGCTAATTCTCATCATTTACTTTACACTCAAGGTCCTCACCCACGATGCTGTTGGTGGTCTTGGTGGACTGTACGACAAGGTAGTGGCCACGGCTTCAGAGAACTTGATTGACGGTAACTACAATGGCTCTCTGCTCACGATGAAGTCTCGAGATGCGATAATTTGGGGGTTAATCTTGAAGTTTGGAAACTTGGCTCTTGTCGTAATGGTAAGTGATTGCGTACATGTGATCATAGACGTTGATACTAATAGAAATGGCAGGACACCGCTTTCTGGCAAAAGTCATTTGCGACGGAAGTGAACGCAACTGTTCCGGGATACAACCTGGCTGCAGTAGCAATCTTTGGTATCCCATGGGGCCTCGGTACCGTCATCGGTCTCACTGCGAGAGCACTGCACAACACTCCAATCTGGCCGGGCTACCCGCATGAGTTCACGTCGGCACAGGTCAATGCCGGACTTGTCATGCCATACACCATCAAAGCTCTCATTGGCGACCAGGGAATCGACGCTTTCCTCGTCCTTGTATTCATGGCATTGACGAGCACCGTCTCTTCATCGATGATCGCAGTCAGCAGCATCTTGTCTTTTGACGTCTACAAAACGTATCTCAACCCCAAGGCATCCGATAAGAAATTGGTCCACGTCAGCCATCTTACAGTGGTGTTTCATGCCGTGTTTATCACCGCCATCTCACTCGCGTTGAACTACGGGGGCGCCGATATGACGTGGATTGGCTACTTCCGTCCTATTCTTTCTTGCCCAGGCATCATTCCGCTTGGCTTGACCCTGTGCTGGTCAGGCCAGACACGCCTAGCTGCGATTGCATCCCCGATCCTTGGTTTTCTCACAGGATTGGGCATCTGGCTCGGAACAGCACATGTCATTTACGGCGAGATCAACATGAAGACCACAGAAGGCAGCTTACCAGCTCTCTACGGAGCAATCGGGTCTTTCTTCTCGCCTGCGCTCTACTCAGTGCTTCTGTCTTTATGCAAACCCGAAAAGTTCGATTGGAGACGATTTCTTGTTGCTGAGATTGCCGAAGAGAATCAGTTGAAGCAGAGCACCGAAAAAGAGGAGGCGAACAACGATGGGAATACTTCGTCGACTTCGGAAGGAGAACCACCCGCATCTTCCCTAATTGACCCTGAGAAATCGGGTGATTCGGAGAAGAATACCACCACCGCTGCAGGCAACAAGTTCCCTCCTGTGGTTTCTTCCAAAGATACTTCGCTGGCAGGTGAAGTCAACCTGGATGATGTTCGCCACCCGTTCGACGACGATACCATCAAGTTGCTCTACCGCTGGTACCGCATCGCCTGGTATATGTTCGTCGCCATCGTACTCGTTACCTTCATTCTCTGGCCAATGCCGCTGTATCGCGACTACATCTTTGAGAAGACCTTCTTCAAAAGCTGGACAACGGTGGCGATCATCTGGCAGTTCTTTGCTTTCTTCGCTGTTGTTGTATACCCTCTGTATGATGGACGCTATGAGATTGTAAGAGGCACCAAGGGCGTTTGGCATTCAAGTAGGGACCTTCTCAAGTCTAAACATTGATTTGCGACGCCGAGAATCCGGAATAGGTTTATATATCTAGATTTGGCCTGAGCTTTTATCAGTGTTGACTGATAAGAGTAATTCTACTATGAGCAGAATCCCAATAGCTTGGATACTGTAGACTAAGCTTGCATGTTCCCGAATAAGACAACCCGACGAGCATCAAACTCGAGTATCCCTCTAGTAAAGGACACCGTAAATGATCCTCAGTATTGAAGTGTTATTTCGCTAATAGTGCGAGATAGCAACCAGAGAGACTGATTTTGGCTTTCATCAATAACATATCCCTACCTATGAACGTATATTCTAAGACCACGGCAATTTCACGAACTCCTGACTTCTATGCATGTTATTTACCGGTTCTTTCGAGTACATGTCTCACATGTGATGTGCGTTTCGTTCAAAGATGGTTCGGGCCTCATTGGTTGAAGACAAACAAAATGCAGGAGGCCGTCAACCCTAACTGCCAACAGCCAGGTTGTATGGCTGTGTCTGATTTATCATGCTGCGATGGCCCCATTTAGGCCTCAGTATGTTCCAGACAAAGGTCTGGAACACGCTGGAAGGCACGAGAAGGCGCATCACAGGTATCACTTGCGGCTTCGTGAATTGAATCAAGACCTCTAAATTCAAGTTTACATTCTTCTTCCTGCCGTCGCCAACTTATTTGCTACATCTCTCAAGACTACATCTCAACACGGCCCATCAAATGGCGGCAGTCACCAAAAATATCGGCAGTCAGGACAAAATCCCCTCGCACACGGCAATGGACGCTTCCACATCCGAGCGGCGAGAGTATGGTAAATCCGACCAAGACTGGGAAAGTCGGAGCAGGCTCATTCATGACTACCTTGAAAAGAACTCCCCAGAGTTTGTCAAAGTCCGCGACTTGCGCAAGAAGGTTCTTACCTTTACGTAGTTCTGTTTGCTGGCTGGAAAAGCACTAACCACCGGTCGCGACTCGCAGGGATGGGAAAATCCTGCAGGTGACACTTTCTTCGAGAACCAACGTCGTGTTGCCGAGAACCCCAGCAAGCGGGCTACAACCGCTTTCTACGACATGATGAACAAAATTGGTCAAGAGATGCAGAGAAACACGGGCGCCCTCAAAGTCAAAACTCCTAGCTGGGGCAGGACGCAGATCCTTGACATGGGCATGGCGCCCGGCGGCTTCCTCGCGACGGCCATGCACCTGAACCCAGGTGCTCAAGCGATGGGCTTCAGTCTTCCCGAGTCTGAAGGAGGTCATAAGGTCATGATACCTGACAATATCGACATTGACCGCAGAGACGTCGACGTGACCATGCTCGCTGCGGATCTGGGCGCCAATGATATCCCCGCCAACCACCCAGACTTTGCCAAGTTCCTCCCTCGCCAGTTCACGCCTGACCAAGAATTCGATCTCGTCATTTGCGGAGGAACAAAGGTGTACAAGCAAGAGCTTGCCTCGTATCGAAATGAGACAGAGTCTCAGCGACTGACCACCAGTCAGCTAGTGCTCGGCCTCGAAAGGCTCAGGCCTGGAGGAACCATGGTTGTACTTTTCCACAAGATGGAGGCTTGGGGCACGGTTCGTGAGCTCTACTGCTTTTCCCAGTTCTCTGAGGTGAAGGTCTTCAAGCCGATGACTGCTCACAACAAGCGCTCCTCATTCTACATGGTGGCCACGAGAGTTCAGAGTAAGAGCCCCCCGGCCGTCGAGGCCGTGCATCGCTGGAAAGAGATTTGGCAAGCTGCCACATTCGGGTCCATGAAGGACTTTCATGAGGCTAGGAGCAAGAACGTGCCTGACGTCGAGGAGGTACTTGACAAATTTGGTGATCAGCTTGTCCGAAAGGGTCGAAGAGTTTGGCATATCCAGGGACAAGGTCTCGAGAAAGCGCCTTTCATTTAGGGCAAGTAGTCAACTCAGTTGATTTACAGAGAGGGCAGGGGGAAGCTAGGAATTCTTCATGACTCCCTAGGTGGCCAATATCTCAGATCGTCAATTATGTCGAGTGTTTCCCTGTTAATGTTGAGGTGACTTAACTGCTTTAGTGTAGAATGCTGATGCATCAGATTTGCTGAGAGCTATAAGGTGAGTCGAATATGAAGGGCATGACTGATCACCGAAACCTGGCTAAAGGAGATCGGGTTGGCCGTCAAGGTCTAAGGGGTCCGTCCATATGGCGAAGTATACTAAGTTGCTGCCCTTCCGGGTGTCGGACTGATAATGTTTCATGCACAGAATGAGTGAGTATCTACTTTCCTCCATTACTAATTGTAAAACGAAACGAAAACAAAACACTACACACAAATACCAAAGAAAATGCACCACCAAAACGTGGAGACCAAGCACTAAGCCTATCCTCCGACTTCAAGCCGATCATTCGTCAGGGAGTTGATTCAACGACCTCCCAGCCAGCAATGGAGCCATGTTCAAATGTTACCCTCGTCTCTGACGAGCAACTCGAAATAAATTTTGGAAGCCCAGGTAGCTCGCTCCATCCTTTCTGGAAGGCCTTGCCTAAAGAGCTCCGGCTTATGGTACTCGAGAAGCTCCCGCCGCTAGCTAAGGAAAGACATGAAATGGCACGTTGGGCCAGCGTCTCAAGGGAATGGCAATATTTCTTTGAGCCTGAGATATTTGAAAATCTCAGCATTCGGTCCTGCAGAAGAGAGATCGGTCGCATGGACCAGGTTGTGAGAGGTTACCGGATACAGCTTGTCAAGCATATCACCCTCCTCGTCGGAACAGCGGAGTTCACCGGCGTAGAATACGAACTGCGAGAAGATGTCGAAAGGACAACAGCAATCAGTATGGTAGTCGTTGGAGCGCTGACAGCCCTATTCCAGGTGCTGTCACAATGGGGAAAAGCAATACCTGGACATCATATCGCGTTTGAACTTTGTGCTGGCTTCAAAGCTGACAACCACGTCATGCACCCTTGCAACGCCTTTCATCGATACACTCGTGACCGAGCACAGGCAAACCGGATTTTGGATGGCAAGCAGCGTCTTCTCAGCACTTTCTGGGACTTCGAATCCCAAGCTCAGACATTACCACAAGTTCCCATCATTGAGAGATTCTCCATGGACCGGCAATACTACCGAAGCTTCTCATGGGAATTTCTGGAAAAGATAGTCTCCAGTACGCCCTGTATACGATATTTTGGATATATGTACTGGCCTATGACTGGTCGAAACAACCAGGGGATGGATGAGGTGGCCAGTCTAGAAATCCTTCAAGCCGTATGCAATAGCCCCAGGATCCGGACGTTAAATCTTTGGAACGCACAACCCAGGACCTTCCCCTGGGACCTTCGGTCACACAGATCGGTCAACTATAGTCTTGGCTCTTTTGCTGTCGAGGCAACCTACCGATGTGAACGCGTCGCATTGGCCAACGTTATAGATGCCACAGACTTCTTCGAAGACCACATCAATGCTATACGCATTGGTGCCCCGGGATTCTTTTCCAACCACCCACGTCATTGGCCGTGCCTCACTAACTTGGCCCTGACAATACCTGCTGATGGACTTGCTCTCAACGTTGCGAGGACGAATTTCTTGGTAATGGCAGCAGGATTGGCAGCCATCCATATGCCTAAGCTTGAAATGATGGAAGTATCCAATCCCACGGAGCTAGTAGTATTTTCCCTCCGATTCAGCATTGGGGAAGATCAGACTGCGAAACTCTCAATTGCAGCGATTTGGCAACTGGAAATTTGCGAGGAGGCTTTCAAGCCGTGGCAACTGGTCGCAGATGCGTGCCCTACGATTGATCTGCGAAGTGGAAACTATTCAGTGGGAGGAATTGCGCTCCAAGCTGCAGCTGTTTCCAAAAATAGTCGAGTGGTAGTCAAGATTCTTACACGTCAGCATGCTTATTACATGCGCTTCATAGATCCAAGAATTACTCCCAAGACCAATAACGGTACACATACCTCACGAGACGCGGTAGAGGAGAGCAAGTAACTCAACTAGATCGAGGCAGTTAATCTTATATCAATGTAATGCGATGGCAGTAATAGCTCCAAATAATTCCGTCGCCTCTTCCACCTTGTGATACTGGCAAACTTACGGTTTCTAAAGACTAAGAATACTACACTCTGGTTACGCGTCAAATAAACGGATAAGCCGGATCCGAACCGGGCGAGTGTTGAACTGTCTTCCAACAGTGCACGTCTTAGAGTTCAACGCCAACGACCCGAGTCAGACTAGAACGTTTCTGTGTAATCTTGATGCTGCCTGATAGAGTTCCCAGAGTTAACTTGGTTGGCCAGATGGGAGATGTGAGTTTGGTTTACGCTTATGTAAGGCGAACCGGAAAGATGAGACCAGGGGCCGGGCGTCGGAGGTTCAAGATGGCAGAAGCCCGAAACGGCCGAGTGCTTTGGGGGCCGTGGGGGGCCTGGGAACTGGAGGCTGGAGCGAGCATATGATCCACTTTCTTTCTCATCTCACCTGCATCCCCGTCAGTCACATTTCACTTCAGTCGCACCACGCACGCTGTGTGAGGAGGTCTCTGGAAGAAACATCCTTCACTTCACTCTACAGTCCTCACGCAAGGCCGTATCTGTCGTTCGCTACCTCGTCCGTTCTCTGGATTCACATTCACTCGCCACACGCCACTCCCCTTCCTTGCTTGTCGGGTATTTCTTTAGCGCGCCAGCAACACGGGTAGAGTCAGACCATGTATCAGCCGTACGCAGTCAACGAGGCGCCGCGGGAACGGCCAAAGATCCTCTGCCTGCACGGTGGTGGCTCCTCAGCAGGCATCTTTCAGATACAACTCATCAGGTTATCGCGTGTCCTCGAGCCGCGCTTCGAATTCGTCTACCTCGACGGGCCGATCGAGACGGAGGCCGGGCCGGGCGTGCTCCCCGTATTCGAAGGGTGCGGGCCGTACCGACGATGGGTCAGCGACGATCCCTCCATCCCCGCCGAGGAGTTCCAGCAGCAAAAGGACACGGCGATGGAGATGCTCAAGGTGTACATGCAGCAGACGGGGCCCTACGTCGGGGTGCTGGGGTTCTCGCAGGGCGCGCGCGCGGCGTCGAGTCTGTTGATTGAGCAGCAGCGGCAGCCGTTTGTGCCGTACAACTTCTTTGGGGTGTTTCTGTGCGGGACGTATCCGCCTTTTGTGCCTGACGATGTGCTGATTCGGTTGCCGACTGTTCATGTGGTGGGCTTGTTTGATCCGTGGAAGCCGGCGAGCGAGATGTTGATTGAGCAGTGTTCTGAGCGGAGTACGCGCAAGGTTGTGAGGTATCCGGGGGGCCATCACCTGCCGAACGCGCCGGAAGCTATTCAGAATATTGCGAACATGGTGATTGATTTGTGGAAGGAAACCACGGGGGCGACGGCGTGATGGACGATGGGAGAGCATTATCATCAGCGAGAAATCCGGAGAGACTCACGACCTAGTCTGACCACACGAGGGAGACGGGCATAGTGCAACCATTCGCGGGGGGTCAAGGCTGTGGGATGAGACGGCCAGCATTGGCGTGATGAGGAGGACAAGCGTCGCTTACTTCGTCTGTCTCTTCACCATTTCTCTCAGTCATGATTGTGGGGAAATATGAAAGATGAGGAAGATGACGATGGAGAAACCAGAGAGCAAGCCAATGGGGACACGAGAGGCTCTTCGTGGTCAGTCAAGTGGCTTGGTGAATGGCGGGGAATCTTGGGTCAAGACGATGACGGGTGAGAGTGAGACATCATCAGCGTCGGGGTGGTCTTGTTTGGAGACTTTATATGAAACAGAAATTTGACCGAAAACGAACGAACTTGATGAGGTTGGTCACTCATACACTCACGCTATCGCCCGTTCACTCACAATGATAGTGAAGATTCTGAGCTGTTTTCGAACCACAAAATCGAGTGTGAGATGACACATGATCGGGTATCATTAGGTGTACAACCGAGCTAAGGGCTCTCATTCTAAACTAGAAGATTCATTATGAAATTGGAGACTCAAGTGAAAAAGAAGTGAAAAAAGATGTCCGAGTCTGAGACTGGTGGTGTGTGAGTGACGGCGGCAGGATTCAGCTGGTGAAGCGTGGCAGCGCAGCCAACTTTCCCACGCCAGTGATGTGGGGACGGCTCAAGAGAGATTAGCGTAGATCGAAGCTCCAAAGTCGCTGATTATCTCATCTACGAACACCAGAGGTGGGAATCTGTTAAGAATCCACCTCTATCCCAGCACTGCACAGGGAATGCCCCGCTGTCGGTCGACGTCACCTGCGGCAGGAAGAGGACAAGCTCCTGTCGGACCTTCTCTCTGGCGCCAACAACAAAAACAGGGAACCCGGCCGCGCGGAGAGGAGACGAGAATGCGACGGCAGCTGCTGCACCTCCTCAGAGCCAGGAGCCGAACCTGGGATTTCTTTCCTGCTTCTTGATCCCCTTGTTCTTCGATCAATTGCCAGCATCGATCCAGGAAGTCATCTCCTGTGAGCTCTTGTCAATTCGGTCGTGTTGCTCGACTCCTGCTCCCACGATCCGACCACGCCGATTCCCCCGATCGATCGACTTTTAAGTCAAACGGACAGAGCGTCACGCGAAAATATCCCCGGAAAAACGAAGCAATCGCGGTCGCCATGGCCAACTTCAACTGGGTGTCCCGTATGCTGGGGTGGGATAGGCACCCACGCCATCACCACGACTTCCACTCGGACTGGATCCGCGATGACCGAAGACGCCGTACGTATCCCCTCTAATCGATCACCTTCTTCTTTGGACCTTCGGGCTATACCAATTCCTACCGTGTCGTTCTTCTGCACGTTATGGAACCCCCTCATCAGTTACAACAGCTTACACCTGGGCCTGCTGCCCTGATCTAGTCCTTCCGCAATACCGAAGCGAGCACCTCGAGTCCGCGATTCCTGCCCCCGAAGTAACAAAGATTGCCCTCAAGCTTCGACACCTAATCGAGCTGGCAGTCCCCTGCGAATTGGACGAAGTCGAGATCACAAAGGCGCATAGCAAGATCATCACGACCAAGGTCGTCAAGGCCGCCAAGGAAGCTGGCGGCTCGCACTACGGATCATGTGTTGTCTTCTGCTTGATTGTCTGCAAGAGATGGTTCAAGCACCAGGCCTTGGCTGAGCTCTGGGACGCCGACCTACACAGAGTGCGCGCCGTCGCTTGTGAGGTTATTGCGAAGCAAATGTATGAACTTGTAACGCCACTGTTCAAGAGAAGACTCCCGGGAGACTAACAGCTGTATACAGCATCGAAACCGAAGACGACCTCCAATACCTCATGCACTCCGTTCTCCTCCGCCGATACTCTGTGGTTGTTGACGGCGAAGCCACACCGCCCGCGAACGCTATTGAAAAGGCCGTCGATCTCCACGCCGTCAGAGTCATTGGCTCTTCTGGATACCAAAAATGCATTTCATACTTGTGGAAGGGATGGCTGGTCCAGGACGAGGACGACCCTGCAGTATTCGTCGACTACAAGGACAAGACGAATCCGTCATTCCTCGTGCACATGGACCCCGACCGCATCCGCGCTCCCATGTACCAGAATGCCACCCAGGTGCTCATCTCCCTCATCTACATTGGTCTTTACACTGCCGTCATCAACTCGGTGAACGCCAAGGGTGTTTTGGACGCGGCTGAGGTATTGTTGTACATCTTCACCCTCGGCTTCATCTGCGAGGAGGTCACCAAGTTCTGGAAGGCCGGCTACCACATTCTGGGTTTCTGGAATGCATTCAATGGCGTTCTCTACACCTTCATCACGTTATCCCTCATTCTTCGCATCATCGGCCTTACCCACGACGAGGGCGAACCCGCGCGGAAAATGTACAGCGAATTGAGCTACAACTTCTTGGCTTTCAGCGCACCCATGATTTGGTCTCGCCTCTTGCTTTATCTCGACAGCTTCCGCTTCTTTGGAGCCATGCTGGTCGTGCTAAAGGTCATGATGAAGGAGTCAATCATCTTCTTCGCCCTGCTTGCTGTGTTGATCATTGGATTTCTCCAGGCCTTTATTGGTCTCGACTTGGCGGACGACTTGGTGGCTGATGATATAACATTCATCATGTCAGCCATGGCTAATGCCATCATGCAGAGCCCCGACTTTGACGGATTCGACAGGTTTTCGCCGCCGTTCGGTATTATCCTGTACTACTGCTTCACGTTCATTGTCATGGTAAGAGATGGTTCTAGGAGAGCTCCGAATCAGTTGCTAATTCGGATCGCAGGTCGTCTTGCTCAACATCCTCATTGCGCTGTACAACTCTGCATACGAAGACATTTACGACAACGCCAACGACGAGTACCTCGCGCTGTTTGCTCAAAAGACGATGCAATTCGTTCGTGCCCCCGATGAAAACGTCTATATCCCGCCATTCAACCTAATTGAGATGATTGTCATTTGCCTCTTCTGGTGGATGGAGAAATCCAAATTCGAGAAGATGAGCGACGTCATCATGGGAATCCTGTACTCGCCAGTCCTTGTTGTTGCCGCGATCTTCGAGACTCGCTCAGCCGCCGACATTAGGAGCAACCGAGCGAGAGGCGAGGAAGACGACGACACGATCGAGGAGTGGGAGCAGATGATGGACCAGGTCGACTTCGAATCCGATGGATGGAACAAGGTCTGCGCAAGCGCCAAGACCAACCTGGAGCACGATCCTACAATCTACGAGGTACAACAGTTGCGAAGCGAGGTTGAAGAGCTCAAGAAGATGTTGGTCGAGATCTCCAAGGCTGTTTCGGCTGGAAATGCTGGTAATGGCCAGGCCTCGACCAACTTGATTGATCTGGGTGAGCCTGCCGAGAGCTCCTCCAGCAAGAAGAAGAATAAGAAGAAGGGTAAGAAGAACAAGAAGGAGAAGAAGGCAGGCGATGACGCCAAAGACGCGGCAGCGGCAGCCTCCTCCAGCTCGAGCGATGAAGAGTGAAGAGCTTTCATCTAATGATTCTGGCAGTGGTGGGGGCCCTGCGCTGTGTGTTTTATTGAATTGAGTTTGTACATGTTATGGCTGTCACGTCACGTCACGCTATTACGAACTTGTTTTGTTTCGATTTCGGGAACCATGGGAACTGGTAGCTGGCAACTTGGGATACGAGTCAGGGAAGTATTGGCGTCGGACATCAGTCATGGTTTGTAATAAGGCGAGGCGTCGTGTTGAATAAGGCAAATCCAATTACCAATTTTGACGACTTGGGTGGAAAAGCGCGCCAGGACAGGTTAGATTGTGTGAGCAATGCCAACACTTGGGAAGCGATTGAATCTCCGTGACCGGCTCCGGTGCGATGGTTCAGCCGAGGACTTGTGGCACGACGTGAAGGAGGGCCCCATTATCATCACTTGGCGGTCATTTACTGCATCTGCTACAAGTACGAGGCACAAGTGCGAGCGCTTGGGGCAGTGAGTTGTCCCGGTTGCCGGCTCGGGTGCTAGGCGAGGGTGGCTGTGGTGTCCGCTGGCGTAGAAAAAATGCGGAGGAGATGGTAGTTTTTGTTGGCCCGCCTGCAGAGGAACACTAGGAGAACCTTATTTTTGGGTGCTTTGGATGGGATGAGTCTTCTTTTGACCTCCCCAGCTGGGAATAACGGCGTGGGGAAAGCTGACTTGATGTTAGCTCTAAACAGGGGCTTAGGCTTGTGTCGTTTTCGGGTGCGCAGCTTGAAGGGCTTCTGGGTTATGAATTGCAATCGAGACTCGGATTCACTTCTTCTCTTTTCCTGATTCATCCCCTCTCATACGATATGAAAGCAGTCAAGTTATCAACTTCAATCCCGAAAGATGAACCCCTGGATGAGAACAAGGAGGGGGAGAGTGAAGGGCTGGAACAAGCGGCATCTTCAAGCTCAAGACGTTTTAAACTTTTGCGGCGCCAAAAGAGCCTAAGACGGGCCCCGGTCCAATCATCACCCCGGATGATGGTCGCGACAGGGTTATGCTGCCACCCCAACTCTGGGAATGGAACGCTCGGCACTCGAAGCGAGAAACGCCAAACGTCTTTCTGGGGAGGTCACTAGTGAGTTGGTGTGTATCCATTGGGTACTTTGTTAGAATTGGATGCTAGAGACTTTGAGGTAGGTACATGGAAGGGGGAGAGAGTGAAAGGGGATTAAGCTTGCCGTACCTACCGGTAATCCTTGGAGGACCACAACTCCCCTCCTCTCATCCAAGATTCCCCTGTTTCTGTTTGGGATGAACGAGGTTTGGCCATTGTTTCTGGTCTGGCTTGGTTGTAGACCTGAATGGTTGGTTCGGTCGAGGGGGCTGCTTACTGGCTGACCAGCGACCGTCTTTCCTAGGCGGTACACGGCTTTAGCGGCTACTTATGGGGGCTAGAAATGATACAATCTTGTTGCGTCTCTTGTCAACGTTTTTGCACGTTGGATGATGTACTGCTCGCAGGCGCTTACACTACAGCAGGCCTGGGGGCCACGACTATTCGAAACGTGATCCGAACATTGGCGCGGGAAGGACGGGACATGCACAGCGGCTGTGTTGGATCCCGGTAGACAGTCATTTTGGGCTGTATGGCTACAGCAGAGCCAGCTGGGCACACACTGAGACTTGCTGTCATCCAATCCGCAGAAGGCCTCGTTGGCTTGTCATGCTAAACTTGGAGGCGTTGCTGTCTGCCTCCGCGAGGTCCCCTTGCTATTGTTCTAATTTTGGTCGAATTCGGCTTAGGGCCAACTCTAGTAGACCAAGTTGCTGGTCGTGTAGGTTGGTAATGTCTCTGGTGCCACGGCCACTGTCAGCCCAAAAGAAGGCGAGGAAAAAAGCTTGGACTCGAAATAGACTTGATTGCATTCAGACGAGGGACCTCTCCTCTCTCATCTTCCCTCCCATGCCCACCTCCCCCAGGATCAGCATGCGTCAGGAAAATGCTTGGCCTGCACGCTTGTTCGTGTTTGTTCCCACAGCCACTCCCCTGATCCCTGGCCCTTGGCTCTGGCTCTCTGACTGCTGCCACCTCGGATGTCAGATACACCCGGCCGGCTGGGGCGCGGGTTTGGGGATGGAGACCATGCCACCATGGCAACTATCCCATCCGCGAGGCGGAGCTTAATTGTGATTACCTTACGCTACTTGAGGGGCTACCGCCTAGCTGAGTTTTGTTTCTTCTGGTCTTGGTCGGTGGTTCGAGGTGGGGTCTGGCGCCCAAGGGTCAATTTGCTTCCGAGACGGACTTGCTGAAGGAGGCCGCCGCCACATGGTTTGGGGACCAAGGCTTGGGAGTGATGGGATCAAACGTGGATGGTGCCTGGGGGAGGTGGAGGGGTGTGGGCTTGAGGAGGGAGGCTTGGGATGTTCCAAGGAGTGTAAGCCGTTTGAGGGCCGTGTTTAGTGTTGTTTCTTGGGGATCTATCATCTCGAGCTGAAGGCTGCAAGAAGATCTACGTGTATAAAAAGACATCATCCCTCCCGTGAGATTTGGGCTTTGCTCATCATCAAATCATAAAGTATTCACACAACACATCAGCACGCATCAACTATTCTACTCGACACCAACTCATCCATCTTACAGCCTCACAAACGTCACCCAAAATGCATACATCATCCCTCCTCGCAACCATCCTCCCCGCCGCAGGAGCCTTCGCTCAATACGGCTACGGCGCCCAAGAATCCTCCACAAACACCGCTTCCGCCGCCGCCTCCTCCTCCTCCAGCATCGCCGGCGTCCACGTCGTCAAGGTCGGCGACGGCGGCCTCACCTTCGAGCCCAACAGCATCACCGCCGCCGTCGGCGAGGTCGTCGAGTTCCACTTCTACCCGCGCGCCCACTCCGTCGCTCAGTCGGCCTTTGACTCGCCATGCCAGCCGCTAACCAACGGGTCCATGACGGGCTTCTTCAGCGGTCCGGTTCAGGTTGCCTCTGGTGTTGGGTCTGAGGTGTTTACTGTTGAAGTCAAGGACACGAATCCCAAGTGGTTTTACTGTGCTACTGGGCAGCATTGCCAGGGTGGTATGGTTGGTGTTATCAATGCTCCGTAAGTTTCTGTGTCTTTCAGAGGTATGAAGTCAAGCTTGCCAACTGATTTGATAGTGCCAGCGGTGCAAGGACTATTGAGCAATACGCCCAGGCTGCCGCCGCCGCGCAGTCCAACGTCGCTCCCAGCGCAACCGGCGGCGGCACCCTCGGCTCCGCGGCCACTGGTAGCCCCAGCTCTGCCTCGAGCTCCCCCTCTGCTTCATCCTCGTCGCAGCCCAGCGCTGGCATCGAGGCCCGCGGCGACGTGCGCTGGGGTCTGCTCAGCTTGGGCATGGCTGCCGCTGGTGTTGTTGGTGGACTTCTCATCTAATATCCTGCGGAGTGGTTTTATTTTGAGTAGGTAGAAAAAGACTGGGAAGGATTGCGGGATCACGTTTATACCAATTGTGCATTTAACGGTTGAGGTTTACCAAAAAGAGACGAAAGGTTGGATTGGATGGTTGCAAAGCCTGGAGCTTCTTCTCATTGAATGGAATGGGTGGTTCGCCCACTCCTTCGATATACATAGTACCATATTGCATGTTTGCTACTTTGTGACAATTTGAATTTTGATCAATAGCAAATGAAAGAAATCATATTCCGCGCCATGCTAGTGGTTGGGTCGCTAAGGGGTTGTGCTCATAGCGGGACCCGTGATCCGTTCCACATACGGTAGTCATACATGTATCCTTGGACCTCCCAGAGTTGAGAAGAGACTCTCTCAAAGCGATTCATCTTTGTTTCTTCATGTTCCTCCCAAATTATCTCTTTCCCACCGAGATCTTCAGCAATCGAACTTGTCTTTATAAAAGGCAAAATTGAAACTTGCCTCGAGTTGACCTCCATTTGGCCGTTGGGCTGCTCGTCACTCCTTTGCCGAAGGTTCTTCTATGTCACTTAAATAGATCTCTCCACAAAAGCCTCGGTACGGAACAGGTGGATGAATATAGTTGGTATCCCGTCTTCCAATCCCTTTTCTACCTTAAATCCATGCCCTGCGGGCATGTAATCCTCAGGTTTCATCCAATGGCCACTGAGAGCCTTTTCATCCCGATAAATCCAGAAGTCATGTTGCGCGTCGAATCCAAAGATCAATGTGAACTTAATTCCATTCCCAGACTTGATCTCTACTGCTCCTTCAAATTCCCAAAGGTCGCAGCTCTCAAAAGTAAGTGTGGACGAGATCCAAGCAACCAAAAATGGTGAAGTCTTGCGCAGCATTACATGCAATTTTGGTCGCTTATCGTCGATGCAGAACTTGATATTACGGCCAGGAATCCACAAATTCTCTGCCTGTAGGCCCATATTGAATTCCTTAGCAATGAAGAGAACCTTCTTTTCGAATGGCCGGCTTTCGGATGCGCAGCTGCTAGCATAGAGCCTTTCCGGTCTCGTTCTGACATAGCTCTCATTGCTGAGCTGATGGAGCAAAATGCCCTGGTATTCATGGTTGGAACCTTCAATCTTTCGACAACCTAGCCCAAGAAAATAAAGGCCTTCGCCAAATGCAAAAAGCTTGGATTCAAGGCGGAGACCCTTGTTTGTCATCGAAAACTACGAGTATTGGTGTACACATGTTAGTAGAGAGATCTGAGACGGTTTCTTGTGAATTCGAACGGACCTCTGGGCCACGTCTTGGATCGCTTAGGAATGTTAGATTGCAACAACCGCGGAAATGATCCGGAGTAGTGGTGAGGATGCCACGAAGCTCTTCTAAGTCATCTATGCAAGTGACTGTGGGATCACACCAAGCGAACAGTGACATGTCGTTGGTCTCCTTGATGATCTCTTCCTGTAGACGAATGAAAGCTCGGTTGCCTTCCCCATAAAGCAAAGGCATGCTGACGCCAAAGATGCCTAAGAGTGAGTAAGCGCGATCTTCCTCTTTCTTTGCCTGGCGACCAGCAGCCCACGACATGCGCCGGCCCACTGGAATACCGGCCAGGAGATCCTGAATACTTTCGTGCGTCGATGAGTCGTGTCTCAAGATTTCAGCGTTGATGGATGTTCGCATTTGAATTTGTCGTGAGAGGTTGAACCGGCTGCCAATTGCATTCCAATTCTTGTCGTAGAATTCCATTTTGCCCGGAGCGATGAGCTCCTGAAGGGTCCAGCCTCTGGTGAACCACATGGATTTCGCCAAGTCACCTCCTCGACCGACATCCGAGAGATACGCGAAGCAAATCTCCGCCTCTGCATACCACCTGAACATTGAGTTGATGGCTTCAGTAAGTTCGGTGAGGTTCCGCTTATCGATGCAACAAGTGTCTATCCAGGCGTATCCGATCCCGATCTCGAGTGCCTTGGCGCAAGTTTTCTCAATCTTCGACCACCCAAGCAGCTTTTTGGACCTTATGTCGGCACTGGCCATGTCTTCGAAGGTGACCTCATCCTCATCGCTCTCCCATCGATGAGAAAGGATAGCGTAGGCTGTTGAAATCCCCTGGTCTTCGAGTTCCTGCTTTCTTGCCCAATGCATCTCCTCGATGCGAAGGGTGGAGCAGTTAAGAAGCTTCATCGTGACGTTGTGTGAGGATTGATCAGTAGAAAAATTGACGACGGTCAGATGTTGTTGGTTCCCAACGACTCAGATAGCAGTGGCTCAGAATTATGGAGCCGTATCTCACGCGGAACTTGATGCGGAATCAGCCTATAAGGGACGTAATTGATAGGTAAGCCAGATCAGCAGGCTACGAGGCAACGAGGCAACTAGGCAGAACCAATAGCTGTGTCTCATATCCTACACATGCTAGCCTATCAAATCTTTAGAATATGTGACACCTTAACGCGAGTGCGCACACGCGACGAAAATCTCACCAGTGACTGGACGCGCCGCATCGCCTTTATGATTGTGTCCTACGCCACAGGCGCTAAGAATGAATTTCGAGCGGAAAATGATACGTTGGGGAACTGAGGCTCAATGATATGCGATTGCCACTGAAGAATTCGCCGAATTTATATGCTCACTCGATCATTTATGAGTTCTGCCGACGAATAAAGTGAACGAATGCACGGGCACGGTTTCTTTAGGGGCATGCATATTCAAAGAGTTTGATGACTCGACACGCATTAGTCCTTACAGGAAGTAAGTAAAATCAACATTCACATAAAATCAAGCTTATTTGAATCAGATGTTACGTGTAACACTACAACTTTATCAGAATAACGAACACATCAAGCCTGGCTTCAGCCTGAAATCGGAGAGAACTGTTCTCAATAAATTGAAGCGAAAAAGTCATAAACAGTAACTCATGCAAGAATCTAGAGTAGGCACCTTCTGAGTTGCGAAACTCGACATTTATTTCGATACTTGCGCTGTATGTTGAGTTCATAGATGCCGGACCGAATGTCGTGACCGATCCCGAAGTCATGTCTTTACCCATATTAACACGACCTCTCGACCTTGTAGCACCTGGGCCTGTCTTCGAAGCATGGTCTTCCACAAAAGTCTCGTTCAAGTTGGCATCGAGGCTGTGCTGTATACGGTCCCTAGGACCTCCACTCGCCTTCCAGGCCAATGAAGGGCCGACTTAAACGTTGTTAGAATAATAGTAAACAGAAAGGGAGGGGAAAGCTTGGGATCAGTTACTGGAGAACCTGATAACTTTTGGGCTCACAATTTTCTCCTAACTCGCCGTGCACTTTCCAGGAGCATAATATCCGCATCGAATTGCATAGTTGCCAATTTTATCAGGGATGTCGTAGTCTTTGGTCGAACTCCTAGCTCCCCGACAAATACCGCATCTGAAGTTCGGGTTCGTTGCCGAGTTGGAGATATTCGACTCTTTGTCCTCCATCGTACCGCCAATGTCGTTTTTGCAATACCATTGGGCGTTGGAAGCAGGGATGGAAGCCATGAAGGGATCCGACACGGTGGAGTCGTAGAAGAAAGCACAGTCCTTGGCCGCAGAGCCAGCAACCAAAGCCGCCATAATCAAAGTTGCCCAGTTCTGCATGATTGGGACGACAATGGTAGCTTCGCGTGGTAGTTATGAGTCAGGCGGCGAGGGGATGGGTTAGAAGGCGTTGACTGAACCGGTTGACCTAGGATTGCAAAACTGTCATGCGGTTGGCCATACCATACTTTAATACCTGGCCTTCAATAACCCTTTGTGGCAAGATCTCGTAGCTGCCGTACGCTGACTCGAGATGCCCGTCGTCGCATCGTTTTAGGGAGGATATGATTGTCTTCTAATTCATATATCTAGTATTACACCCCTTAGCAAAGAGGAGCAATGTCATCTAAAAGAGTTTGTGACTTAGTAATCACGAGTCGGATGTGGTCCACCTAGTAATAAACAATGCCTTAAACAAGTATTGATCAACAAGTATTAAACTGCATCGCGCTTGGGGAGCATCCAAAAGCCTCCATAGACAGACTTCTAGTGGGACCGACCTGGGAGGTGTGTTCTCACGAAAGCGTTGATGGGAAAAGCCCGTCCGCCGAGAGCGCAAAAGTGGCAAATAGCATTGCATACCCGCCAACTAATATGCAGGCGTTGTATTCCATTCTAGTTAACTAGCCTTCCCGCATAGACTTCCTTGAGCGGTGTTTTACGAAAGACAGTGTGCTAAGTAAAGTAGGCTCTTCACTCCTCCGTAGGACTCAAGGAGTATGTCAAACACCCAATATCACGCGTTCCAGCAACACCTCCATTAATACCTGTCGGCCCGAGTTAGAAATGACATAAAGGCCACCCGTTTGGTACATGATAAGATCCCGCGGCAGTCGCGAACTTACAATCGGTCCAAAGTTGGTAGAATAATTGGCGACATCCAATTGTACCCCCACCCCAAGGTTCCTTGGGATTCTGCTCCGTTACGGCAGGCGAGCACTGTTTTCTCCAGGCCACGGTATACTTCAACTTCGCGGCATCGAAATACTTCGAGTAGTAGATCCGGGTTATTGCCTCATGTCCGGGTGTCATAACATCAGGTAAGACCTCATTACACATAGCCTTGAGTCCCTGCTTGACTGTCACTTCGTGAACATCTTTGTGCTTCGGAAAGTCGCCCTCGCTGTTGCAACGCAGTTCGCCTTTGCGAGGGGCTGTGTTGGTGATATGGTATGAGTACGTCCCGCAACCAGCATCGTATTGGCCTTTTTCGGCCATGACATTGCCTTCGCCTCCCGTGTGCCCGCCTAACGTAATTTAGTCAATGCCATCCAATGAAGATTGGAGATTGGGAGGTGGCATGGACTCACATGTGTTCGCAACTGTCTTGAATGCGTCTAGGCAGCTTTTCTGGCAAGAGCCTGCGTCAAATACCATGTTTGGTTTCCAATCGAGATTCACGATATAGCCCTTGTACGGGTCGAGTGTGACTGGCGGAGTTCGGGCCTGCAGCTTGGCTTCCTGATTGTTGCCACTTATGTCGACAACCCATGAAAGCGCTTGTGAAGCCAGGGCGTCGACTTCCTGGCAGAACTTTGCTGCCACGTTGTACTTTGACCCTGCAAATGCATCCCATTGAATCTCGGCAGGTTTGTCCATTGCGCAACTTGGGTTGGCAGATGGGGTCAAAGTCGTGGTCGGGAGTCCAGTCTCTGCTGGTGGAGGTATCCACGCCTTCGTCGTTACTGTTGTAATGGGCGTTGATGTCTGACTCCCTGCACCCGTTCGGCATCCGGACACGGCTCCACACGATGTTTCGCAATATTGAAACATAATGCCAACGCCCTCACACGACGCCTCACACGCAGTGCTTCGTGAACATCTAGACATAGTAGTTGCTGTGGCTGAGGCGGGCGGTGTGGTGATAGTGCCTGACAATAGCTTTTGCTTGATCGGATTCTTGTCCCCCAGAGGTAGATTTTCAATGAGGGTGTTGTAAGCCATCATGAAGACAACTTCGCCAATGCCCTGAGCGACGCCTTCTCCGACATTCATCAGCGGGGCGAAATCTCTGACGAAATTCGTGACCACGAGGGCGGCATTGGCGACATTTCCAGCGGTGAAAGGTAAGGTTGGGGGATTCATGAGAAGGAGGTCGTCCAGTGGGCCACCAGGAGTTGCCATGCCAATGGCCCCTTGAGCACCACATATGGCGGATCCGAACTGAGCAGCGCGTTTACCATTGGCGTCACTGTCAAACTGCCTGCCATCAAGGCAGTCGGTAGACCTTCGTATAATTTCTTCCAGCCGCTTCGCTAGTCCTTCGTCCATGGTGACCATCAGATCCCCTGGGGTATAGCCAGCAGTAGCGGTGGCAATTGGCGTGATTAAAGGTGTGGCAGTACTGGATAGAGCTTCGTCAGTAACATCGTACATGTAGCGTATGTTAAGACTATCTTTTCAGGAGAATCACCCTTCTGGTCTGGTTGGATCTGGCACAGGGGTGAGTGTAGCAACGCCCTTCCCTTCTGCAGATAAGACAATCGTTTTCGTGTCCGCAAGACCAGCCGCGCTACTAGCCGTTGTATCAGGAATTATATGGTCCGCAAATCGAATGCTTGGCTGCTCGGGATGCTTGAAGCTCCAGGCCGAAAGGAGCAACATGGCAATTGTTGTGAACGCGGAGCCCTTTGACTTGAATGTCTTGGAGAGGAAATGCCCAAAGTGGCGACGTTCAATCTCGGCGTCGATTACAAAGTTGGCCGATTGAATTACCTCTCGTACCTCTTGGTAGCACTTGTCATCAGTCTTTTCGCAACCGATCAACGTCTTCCGGACTTCGTCCTGAGCATCAGGTGACAAGGCAACATGGAACCCTGCACCCTCTTTGCCCGACATCCAGATCACTTTACCACTGAGATCTGGAAGTTCTCCCTTTGAAGAAATAAGGTATCAGCTTTCTTAGTTGGACCGGCGGACAACAATGGTACTCACATTTCCTTGATATTGACTGAGTTGCCCAAGATCGAAAACCTTTTCCTCTTGGGTTACAGCAAAGACTGCTGCAACGATGCAGATGAAAAGACAACGGACGACTGCGGAGCCCATATCAACGGAATCTCTGGATAGAACTAAGATAAGAAAGCTATTCTTCGCGGTGGGGATGTGAAGAGAGAGAGGCTTTTTCGCGTTGTTATACAAAATTCTGGTGGTTTGTCTTCACTGACCTCAGAGGAGATGGAAGCGCGAGTATTTATGCCTTCTCTATCTTCCCCTATCTCCATAATTGAATTCGTCTTTCATCTTGGAAAGACTTCTTCGATACAGTCACAGCTTCAAGCCGGTGGTGAGCTGTTGGCTTCGGCCTGAAACTTCCGAGCTAATCTGCATGTCGACGAGAGTCGACCATTAGGGCCTGCGAAGGGCATCGCCATGCCGGGGGCTTTGGGGCTGCCCCAAAACCCCCACACGATGTCTTTCAGGATGAAGCTCAATAATCACGATCCATGACTGTCATTCTGACGCTTTTGTTGGAGTTGTTGGCTGGCGAAGCACGGGCCAAACCCTCTACTTCACATTGTGCTATTTCAGCTGACCCTACCCATCGAGTTTGAGCACCGATTGTTAGTATCAAAATAGTGCCTGTGCATATCACTGCCTGTTGGGGGCGAATGGTTGGAACCTGGCTCTGCTGCATCACTTGGTTTGTATTCATGTCAGTTGGTTTCATTTGACTGCTTGCCAACAGTGGCTCAGGGGCTAGACCTATCTGCCAACCTTAAGTACGTGTCTCTACAGGTAGCCAATTCGAACGGAGAGTTAGATTGCCCAGCTTTGGGGGCCCAACTAAACCGGGAAGGACCAAGCATGGCCCCCATTGCCTGAACCGCAGCCAACGTGCGGGCGGCTTGTTTGGGGTACAAATACGTGGTTGGTGCCCTCACTTCATGTTCCAACACCAGCTCTGTACCCAAACAACAGACCACATCCCAATCTTTCATTTTCCCCCGACACGACCCAAAGGCAGTTCGCCGCTCATAGACGGAGATGAGCGGCACCCCCAAACAGAGCTTCGTCGAAGCATGCGGAAACGGCGACTTACCACTGGCTCAAAGCATTATGCAGGATCACAGCGACTTCAAGGCACAGCAGAAACGTTATGTGTATCCTGACACTTTGATGAGGCACGCAGTTAATGAGGCAGCCTGGAACAATCACGCACATGTTGTGGCCTTCTTATTCGACAACGGAGCTAGGATTACCGATTCAGTTGTCCTTGCTGTATCTAAACGCCACAACAAAACGATGTTGGAGGAAATCCTCAAGAGAGGGTATAACATCAACACAGTGGAGCCGGGCGTGACCTTGCTGACGTTTGTACCTCCCATAGTACCAGGTTTCGAGAAACGTGACACTGATCCTCTCAAACAGGCTATCCACCGGACACACTGAGTGGATGGAGGTGCTGTTACAACACGGAGCAGACCCCAATGTCAAAGACTCGAGGGGATGGACAGCGCTTCACTCGGCTGTGGCCGACCCATCGCTGGAATCCTGTCAGCTCCTCCTTGAACACGGTGCTGTATTGCCAGCAGACATACTCCAGTCTGCTATAGATTCTGATCACACAGATACCAGGATGGACATGGTCAAATATCTCATTGACAAAGGGGCTCAACTCAACTATGTCCGCGACATCAAAATAGGCTACAAGATCTGGCAAGGATCCCCTCTACATGTTGCCGCTGGTACAAATCGACTTGACATTGCTCAGCTTCTGCTGAGTGCAGGGGCAGATCCCAGCGTCAAGTACTGGGACAATACGCCGGCCGACACAGCCAAAGAGTTGGAATACATGGATATGTATAATCTGCTTAATACAGATACAGCCCCCGAAGTATCTGCCCCTTGATGAACCAGAAAGAACGAGGTAGAATGTCTGTCCAACAAGCCCCCACAGACAATGATAGTGTCAGTCGCAAAGATGGCCACGTGAGGCTTCACTAGATACATACTATCCCATTTCAATACTCAGTCGCCGTAACAGCTGGATGCGACCTAAGATGTCGCTCAAGATATAAAGTGCAATGCAAATTCTGCTTGTAAAGTCTGAATTCCTATGACAAGAAGCTCTCTTTCAACATATCAACATCGAATTATCAGTGGCCGCAATTTGCGTGCAACTCATAACTCTTTTTGAATTTTTTGCACGTCACGATTTCAGAAGCACCCAAATCTCCACCCAAACGAACACAATTACTAAATTATGATTGTTCCGAGGAGACTTGCCCACTTTCAAATGTCTCCGAATGTCTCTGTCCCGCTCTTCGGCCTGCTGCTGCTCTTAGTAGCAGTAAGCGCTTTCCCATCGGCGTGGTCACTTGGTACGTGATCCGTAAAGCACCCCTCTCATAATGCTAGATGCTTTGCAATTGAGACTAACCTGGGGTTCTAGATTCTCATTCCATGGGACTGTCGTCCTTAGACTGGCCACGGTCTACTCCTGTCCGGCGAGATGTCGAGCCTTTCACCCAATACCCAAAGCGCGATGATGATCAGGATATCCAAGATACCTGCAATCCATTCTCCATGATTCAAAACTTCCGTGAGCCTATTGACAGACTTTATGCTCAAGGACACAATGTCTCCTTGGCTAAAAGGGTCAAATTGGAAGTCCCTGGTGATGACACAGACATGGATGTGTGGATGAGAGAACGCACGGAAATTACGAAACCAATTGTTTGGGAAGTCAGCCCAGGAACCGATGCCAACACAGCAATTTTCCGAAAATTTGGAAGGAATTCTTTTAGCCTCGGAACGAACGGTCTTTGTGGGTGCAGTTCACTGTGGATCATCAGCAGAAAAGGAGTGTATGCAACTCACTATTGGGAGAGTATCTCATTTGCGCCCGAGAAAGAATGGAGAAACCCAGGCGAAACCAATGCTGAGGTTTTCGAACGTACTGTCATTGATGGCCTCAAAAGTGGAATCGCTGTCAAAGGCAAGCCAATGCAGGCTAGGCTCAACAGAGACGAGATTGCGGACGACCATATCAAGGCTTATCTTGTTCATCCTCAACGAACATGGAAAAACACGCCCGCCGCTGTTGATGGTTATCGTGTGCAATGGAATAGGATCAAAGACACCGTGAAAGCCATCATACCGGAACTGGCGTCAGATGATAAATGGGAAGAAGTCATCTACAACCGGTTACGTGGGAACGACCGACAACTGTTTGAAACTGCACTTGGACATGTGTTATTCCAGTTTTCCCCTGATGACCAAGAGAAAAAGAAGGCTGCTCTATGGGTTGAGAGACGGAGGCAACCATACCATGACGACGCTTGGGAGTAGGCACGGTAAACACATTCGAAGCGAGTGTTGTTGAGCCCTAGAAACTGAAATCCCACAACAAATTGGCGGGACTACGGATTTGTTGTTGTTAGCTTTGCTGTTGGCTTTTGTTATCTCCTATCGTTTCATTATTTGTTTAGTCATTGGTAACTGTACAACGGTGTTTTTAGTTGAAATCTTGAGCTTCTCAGAAGTGGTTATCAGGATCCTTGAATATCACAGCCACATTTCAGATTACTCGCTACAGAGGATACCTCATCAGGAAGGTGAGCTCAAGTATACCGGTCCCAGTACAATTCTTCAATCAAGTTACCCTAGATACAAGGCTTGGCACAAAGCAGAGGCGCACTGGTTCCAGGACCATCCCTTTAGCTGTCCTCTCAATCAGCGCTGATAACGAGGTAAAGCTACTGCTTGAGGTGCCGGAAGCGCAGCAGTGTCGAGGGCAGACATTAAGTGAGCTACTATCTTTTTCGATGAAAGAGCTTTTGTCCCTAGGTCCAAATGCAAATTGCTTACCCAGACTTGATGCCCCTCATAGCCTCCCATTCACTTTCCAGGATTCCATAGCTAATCATATCATACCATTGTCTATCAAACCAATAAGACTCACGACTACGGCCCTCTTCCACGAAACCAAGCTTCTTGTATAAGTGCTGCGCTCGCTCATTGTAGGAGACAGTGCCAAGGTGAACCCTATGGTAGTTTCCATACCTGAAGGCCCAGTCGAGAGCCCAGTTGATAACCTCGGCCCCGTAGCCCTTTCCTTGGTACTGTGGTGCTATCGCGATCCCGAGGCCGACTGATCGGTGATGGGCCATTGCCGGAGGGATACCACCCCAGCCGATCGCTAGGTATCCTATGGGTTTTGGCGCAGCCGTCTTCGCTTCGTCAACTTCCTCGTCGTCGTCGCCTGAAGTATCTGCTGGAAGGCAAACCATGACAGAGAGAACAGATTTGGCCATTTGCTCAACCATCCACTCGCTGTGCTTGCTAGTCCTCGGCATCAGTGCCATCGGGTTGGAGAGGGCGACAGTGACTGGGTCATTCTCGATTTGAGTGTGTAGGAACTTCTTATCCTCGTCGTTGTTTTCCACGGCTCGAAAAATAAGCCGTTCGGAGCGATAAGCGCCGTTTAGATCATCAGTGAGCATGGTGGTTGCTAAAGTGTGCTCGTGATGTCGCAACGAATATGAATGTTCGAAGCAGTGGGAAATAAAGGGAAATACTCTGGGTACTGCTTCAAGTCTGGAATATCAATTCTTTGTGCAGTGACTGAGCCGACTCATTACCCTTATGTCTATACGGTCCATGGATGGGAGGGGTTTCCCTTTGCGTTCAAAGAGTCCGAGTGGTCCTATCGCGGGCTACCTTACTAAGCTTACGTTCAAGCTGACATCTAGCCCCAACAAAAGTTCCGTTAATGCATGTGGAGTGGGCCCCTCTTTCCATACCCCCACCCCAACTTCCTGCGAGTATTTAGACATGACGCTGGGAGCTTTTCTCGAGAGAGTTCTGTGCGCTCATGGTCCTCCGTCGATGGAAGTTGCACATTATCAACTTAACATACTAAGGACTCATGGGTGCCGGGTGAACGCATTCTACCATTCCGATAGAGAACCCCATTCTGGGGCGGGAATCCAAAGCATCTTAATAGACTTGGATGAAGTTGTTTGTGCTTTCTGGGCGATGTAGGAGATGGAGGCATTGCTTGGAATCTCAGCTCGTAAAAGTAAATGCCGTCGGATTAATTTGAAAAGGAGTCCTCATTCATGAGCAGCCCAACTTCGCATTCACATAGCATGCGTGTTGAGAATGGCGGCCAATTGACGCATTGACTTCTAAGTTCTTTGAGACTTGCTAGAATTGGTTCGAATCGTGAGCTTTCTCTACAAAGGTGAGAAGTTGCTACCTCTTCACAGAAGTACCAAGATCCTTATACCAAAAATATTGGCAAGATGAACAGAAGCACGTGTGGTGGGCCAAGCGAAATCTCTGGCGTGGCAGGATCAAAGACACAGCTGTTGTATCTGAAGCTAGACTTCAGATTGAAATCTTCCTTTTCTCAACTTAGAACGTGGATTCCAGTCCTTTGTTATCTTTCCCTTGTTGTGTCCTTGATACTCATCCAATTCCAGACTTCGTTGATGCTTGCCGTCCACTTATCAACAATAGAAGTTGAGAACTTAACCCGTGCACTGATAGATTTTACACCCCACGGTAGCTGTCTGTGAAATGCTCACATATTTAGAGCCTTTAAATGAATGAACTGATCCAGAATGATGCGAGACAATATCTAGGAAGCTATGAGAAGTAATATAAGGTACGTTATCCTATCATTGGGTGGCGTCTAGCTCTCAAACAGTTCGGACATTAGAGCTATCTCCACATCTACATCCGGCCTCCGAAATATCCGCGACCAAGCTGTACGTCTTATCTACATCCGGCCTCCGAAATATCCGCGACCAAGCTGTACGTCTTCTCTCACAGGCCGTAGAGCTCGTCGCTCTTCGCGTTTATGATTATAGATGAAGAGCGCGAAGACTAAAAATGAGCGCGACTTCTTATTTGATTGGGTTTCTCGTCTTAGCGCGACAACAATGGACTCAAGAAGCCCTTCGCTGTGCCGCTGATTACCCCTCCAGATACGGCCGGTGGGAAAGGCCATAAGTAGCCATAGGGTTCTTCAGACATCACGAACGGCAGCTACCTTTGCTTCGCTGCGTATCTTCCTATCTTAAACAAACCATGACTGTCTCGCCAACCAAGATTTTGTTGAAGAATGGCGTGCTTCTTATCCATGGAGAGGATGACAGAGTGAACCCTCAGCGGTCAGATATCCTCATCGAGGGAGACACGATTTCACAAATCGGCCCAAACGTCAGGACAACCGGCGAGGATGTCAAAGTGTTTGACTGCGAGGGCAAGATCGTATCTCCAGGCTTCATAAGCACACATCATCACGTATGGCAAACCGCGCTGAAGGGTCGCCATGTCGACCACACTCTGCTTGAGTACTTGCCGCGAGGAAACTTTATTGGGTCATTGTTCACTACCGAAGACGCATTTTGGGGTGAACTTGGCGGCGCACTTGAAGCTATTGATGGCGGGACCACGACCATTGTGGACCACTCCAGTCTGAATGTTGGCCCAGAATTCCGTAAGACCCTTACTCGATATAATTATAGCCGGTAGTTGACATTAAAAACCAGCCCCTACGTTGATTCAGGCGCTTGTAGCCTCCGGGCTTCGTTCTGTCTACTGCTACTGCGTTCCCAGAACGACCAGCTGGAGCCCGTTCTCTACAGCAGATGATTATACGTCTTCACATGTTCTCGAAGAATGGAAATCGCTGGCGACAAAGGGCCCATACGGAGACGGGCGAGTGCAAATTGGTTTCGCTGTAGATAACTTGTATCAGTCGCCCGACCAAATGAAGTTCCTCTACTCGGAGCTTCGCGCTGCAAGGGCTAAGGTCATAACATCGCACGGTGCCGGCGGCTTAGCCTTCGGCGATGGTCCTTCTGTCGTCCAGATCCTGAACAACCACAACCTGCTAGGCTCAGATATACTCATCTCTCACGCCAATTTCCCAAAGGATGGCGACGCAGAGCTTGTCAAGAAGCACAATGTCTACATCTCTGCTACTCCCAACACAGAGCTGCAGATGGGATGGCCGCCAGTCGCTCTGCAGCCTGAGTTTGAAGCAAACTCCAGCCTCGGGGTTGACTGCCACAGCTGTGGCAGCAGCTTTATGCCCAGTCAAATGCGACTCGGTCTGCAGTATGCCCGACTCGAACGACAAGAGAATCTTCGGAGACAGGGCAAGTGGAGCCGGCATGTCGGTCCCTCAGCTGAGCAAGCCTTCAATCTCGCTACAATTGGCGGAGCAAAGGCGATTGGCATGGAGGGTGAGGTTGGCCAGATCCGCGTTGGAGCAAAGGCAGATCTAGTAGTCTTCAGCACTGACAGCCCCTCCATTCTCCCTGCTGCTGAAGAAGACCCCATTGCAGCGGTGGTTCTGCATTCGAGTGAGAGAGATGTGGAAACCGTCATTGTTGGAGGCGTCATTCGGAAGGAGAATGCAAAGTTGCTACCTGTGTCAGTTACCAGTCAGGTGGAGGGGGCGAGTGACCTTGGTCTTCACGGAAAAAGTATTACGTGGAAGGATGTTGCGAAGAATTTGATTCAGTGCCGGAGTAGATTGAACAAGAAGGCAGAAGGCATCGACATGACGGCGGTGGAAGAGACGATTATGGACAATTTCTACATGAACCGGAGAGATATGCTTGAGCAGTCATGAGTATGTTACATACTAGTACATGTAGTTGACGATCCGTAGCCACTTGATTATTCTATGGTCAAGGAATTAGTATCTTGCCAACTCTAACTCCCAAATTTTTGTTCATCCAGAATGAAGCACGGAATATCTACTCCGTCTTAGAGGAGTCAATGATACAGCTGGGCGCGCTAAGTAATCCGAGTGGTTTTGAGCATCTCGCGAATCATGCACGATGGACCCATACTTATCTTACAAAGGTGTTCAAGACCACCACCAGCCATTGCCGTAACTCGGCACCTCAAACATCATCGTGAGAGAGGTCGACTTCCGGATATTCGGCTCCCGGCTCAGACATGACTTGATGGAGCAGTACATCGTGACGGAGTTAGTTGCCACCACACGGAGTTATCACTCAAGATGCGGGGGAGCTGTCAGCCAACCCCACTTCATCAAGATAACTCGGCATCAAAGGCAACCGGCATATGTAGACACGGGCGCTCTTAGATGCGGCGGAGATCGGCCGGAGGTATTTGCCTGCGTCTAGAGGCGGATAAGGCCATTAAACTCATCTTGTTTTCGGTGCAGCTCAGATTGAGTTCTGCCACTGAACATCAGATCAAAGACCTCGCATGATGCCCTCGGTTCCACTTGCCATGGAATATCAACATAGCGGAGACTAAATGGCGTGATTATAACTACCGCACCCGCCGCCAGTCTGAAGCCGAAACCTCCTCATCTTTAATTTTCCAGCATCAACCTAAATCAACAGATTCCCACCAAACAACCTCCAACATGCCAGAGTCCAAGGTCATCCCGGCCTCAGCCACGCCAGTAGCAAAGCCAACGGCTACTTTCACCGGCGATGTCTACATGGAACTCATCAACCGCGACGAAAGCGCCGTCATCGCAAACGTTACCTTCACCCCATGCGCTCGGACGCATTGGCACACCCACGTCGGAGGACAGATGATTAGAGTGCTGGCCGGTAGCGGATGGGTCTGCGACAAGGGCGGCGAGGCGAAGCGAATCAACGCTGGAGACACTGTTTGGGCTCCTCCGGGCACGACTCACTGGCACGGCGCCGATGATGGAAGCATTATGACGCACTTTGTTGTTGGCATTGGAGAAACGAAGTGGCATGAGGCTGTCACCGATGAGGATTACAAGAAGCGGTCCGAATGAGTTCAGCATCATTGTGTTTTGGAAGCCTTCATCTTGAGAGCTCTCTAGAGAGTTTCTGACACCTGGATATCTAGGGCGATGCTTTCATCTGAAATACACAGATAGGACCCATTCTCACCAGCATCCTGCCTGTAGCTTCTCAAAACAACTCATCTACTAAGCTTCGCCTATCCTCGTTTCTCGTATTTGCCAGTGACTTGAATCTGCGGCGTCTGGAAAACATCCCAGTTATCAGCAGCCGCAGGGTTCCCGAAAGGCTTCAGTGTAGCGAATCGCATGCTATTTGGAAATACTGTTAGCCAACCCTCGGCAAAGCTAAACGGGTTCATCGTGACTTACGTGTAGTTTCCGAGCTCAATCTGGCTTCCGTTGCCAAGTTTTCCGAACCACCAGAACTCATGGTACGACGCCTGTGTCTGAGCATTGCGGTACAGGTCAACCTGAGGGTATGTCCAGGTGTCATCGGGGTCATAACGAGTGGGGTCAAAGTATGACACGCTGCCAGCTACAACATGGCTGGTGGCTGGGCCAATGTAGCCGTTCTGACCGGGGACGGGCGGGTATTCCCATTGTCTATCGGTCCAACCAGCTTCGTAAATCTGAACACGAGTTAGCCGCCATTGTCACTTTCAGCCGAATTTCGTAGTAGGACTTACATCCCATCGGACTTCCTTGCTGCCCCAAATGAGCTTTGAGTAGATGATGGGGAAATCGGCGACGGATGGGTCAAGATTGAAAGAGTAGACACTGGCCAAGATTAGCTGGTACTTGTCCCGCGATCTGGACGCATCGACTCACTAGTCTCTTTGTGTGGTGAAGGGGTATGAGGGTCGATAGATCGGGCTAATCTCTGCCTTCAGGTTCGCACCGAGGCCTTCGTTGGAGTCAGTCAAGTCATCAGAGTGTTGTAATCACCGCGCAATCTCACCTAGGTAGGGCACGGAAAATTGTTCTCCGTTGTTGCCAGAAACTATGACCTTTCCGCTGTAGATAGGCAGAGCAGACGAGTTCCAACCAAGGCCGTCGGGGTTGGGAAAGTTGACACTTTACTCCATTAGCTTTTTGAAACATAGAATGCCCTTTTATGATGTGCATCTAACCTGACAGTCTTGCTCTCGCCCGACTTCAAAGTGAAGTCTCTCGGCAAAGAGATCTCAACAGGAAGACTCTTGGGCGTCAACTCCGTAAAGCTCTTGAGTCTTTTCTCGCCACCCCATGGTGCGACGAATGGGTACCAGCCAAGGATTTCCACTCCAGCGGCAGCTTCATAAGAGAGCTTGTAGCTCACATCCTCGGCACCGTTGTTGGTCACAGTCACGTCGTGATAACGACTGAAGTAGTGGGTGTCGTTGAGGGCGATTTTCTCAAAGGCAATGTCGGTGGTGTAGTTGACGATCTTGAAGGCATTGATGAGTCCGTTGCCAACTTGAGCCACCGATGCAGAGAAGCCGTAGTCGGTGGCGGTTCCGTCGGACCAGGGAAGAGAGGTTCCGCTGGCGATGATTCTTTGATGCAGTGTCTTGGCGAAGCCCTTACCTGCAAGATGAAATGATCAGCCACGGTCCAAAGATTCTGGCCAATTGGATGGACTTACCATGTACAGACCGGCCGCCGTGGGCACTGATGTAGAGCGCAGCTACACCGGCTACGTAAGGTGTGGCCATCGAGGTACCGGAAAGTAATGCGTACGTGTCATCAAGATAGGTACTGAAGATCTAGAGCAACGTTAGGACGTCTAGCAGGGTAATGGTGGTACTGGTAGAGACTGACTTGACCACCAGGAGCAGCAATATCGGGCTTGATATCGAGGTCATTCGAAGCACCCCAAGAAGTGAAAGTGTTGGGTCGGCCACCAGCGGGGTATTCCAAGCCAACAACCTGCTCGGGATTAAGAGAAAAGTCCGCGGTGACATTACCGCCGGCTTGAACCGTCTCAATGATGGCCTTACCAGCTGCGGCGGTGATGAGGGCAATTAGACCAACATCGTCATCGGTTCCGGGTGTGATGATGGGGTTTTCGTTGTTGTAAAATAAGATGTACTCGGCACCAAGGGCAACCAGGTTGGCTTGCTTAGTTGCGAAAGTGCAAGTGCCTCTTCTTACCAAGGGAATGACGCCCTTGAGGCTGCGGGTGCCGTTGGGGTAGGGTTCGCAGCCATCGGCTGGGTCGGTAATGTCAAGGTTGAGAGGAACGACCGGCCAGTCAACGATATCGGACGAGAAATAGTAAGTTGAAGGCAAGTATCCAGCCTGTTTGATGTTAGATATCATGGCATGAGACCCACGAACGAAGGCTGTACCTTGACGGTCTCAGTGTTACCGTCGAGAACCGATGTCAACTCGAATGGCGAGGCAGGATACTTCTCGGTCTCCACAGAGGCCACGGCGAGAACGTTCTTGCCAGAGGAACCACTGCTTCCGAAGAAAGCACCGGCGGCACCCGAGTTGCCATTGGCAATTGTGACTACAACTCCCTCGTCGACCAAGCGAGAAGCAATCTCAGCCCATGCGTTCGTAGACCAGCCACCTGGACCACCGATACTGGCAGTGATGATGTCAACCTGCTTCGATGTCAGTGCTTGCGTGATTTTTCTCAAGGTCTAAAGGATTCCTACGCCATCGGAGTAGGCTCGGAGGAAAGCCTCGATGAGAGTAGCATCATCCGTAGCATCCTGCCGCACGTCAAAAAACATGAAGCCTGCAAGGGTTCAGATGACAAGCTCACCAGTTGAGCGAAGACCTTGTATGAGTAAAGCGATGCCTCAGGGGCAACTCCGCTCCAGCTTTAAAGGGGAGGCATTAGCTTTCTATGCAGCTTTAAGGAATTTCTTGATGGCCTTACAAGTCATTCTTTCCAGCAATGATTCCTGCAACATGGGTTCCTGTGCGGTGATCAGATTCGACTCTTGTACGGAGGGTCATCAAACGTCTTCATACCATGTCCAAGCTGGTCCAACGGATCATCATCTGGGGTCTTGTCTTCGTAGGGCCAGACTACGCATTTTTGTCAGATTGCTCGCGTCTCGCATATGACTCTGAGACTTACTGCCGTTGCCGACAAGATCGTAGCCTCCAGCGACCTTGAAACCCGGGCCGAAGCCACCTCCCAGCTGTGTGATGTTTAGCACTCGAACAAAATGAAGCGGATGATGAGAGCAAGTAACTTACGGCGGGGTGCGTGTACCAAGTTCCAGAGTCAACAACTCCGACTTTGACTCCCTGTCCGAAGATGCCCTTATCGTGAAGTTTGCTCACGCCGGTGGTGTTATGCGGGCTGTAGTCACCAGCAGCAGCCTCCTCAATCGACTTGAGGCCCTCAACGGGAGACAAGCTGACACGAGTGTTTTGCCAGACGCGAGCAACACCAGCCAGGTTCTGAAGGCTGTCGATGTTGTGGGTGTCAGTCTCAATGCTGGCGCCGGAGAAGATGTCGCTCTCAAAGTTCTTGACAACTTTAATGTCGGCCTCGAGGGCAACGTCGCGACGAGCTTTGGCTGACCCCTAAACTTGAATGTTAGTCCAGGCTTCTGAACTCCCGAGTCAAAATGGCATTGACATACCGAGGCATACTCGATGATGTAGCTCTTGGCAATAGGGACAGTAGCGTTATTAGTCTCATCTGCACCCTCTGGAGCTTGACGAGTAGCGAAAGACTGTGCACTCCCCAGAACGGGAAGCGCAAGGAGACTGGCAATGCTCAGCAGATGCATTTTGAGGGTTCACTCAAGATAGTGCGCCGCTTGAAGCTCTGTCTCTTAGATAGCAAAAGTCATACCGGTGGGATGAAGCTCTTATAGTCGCGATTTATTGACGGCTCTGGTGACATTCCCATTGCCTCAACCGAACCCCGGCTGCGACTCTTTGTTGCAGCGTTACATTGCCGATACGGCCATGGGCGTAGAGATTCCTGGCGATATCGCCATTGTTGTTGGAATGAGCTTCCTTCTTGGGATGGCTAATATGCCGGGGTTGCACGCGGTATCGGACGATGGTGCAGCGCTGACATTGACAATCATACCGTCTTTTTTAAACTTCGCGGTCACAAACAATCTTCCGGTTGTAGGAAGATCTCATGATAGGCACTAGGAAAGATATTAACCCTCCAGATTGCGTAGCATCTCGTATCCAAAGGCAACTATGAGCATGCCATTCGAAACGTATTTTACGAACGTCGATCATGAGCCTTCATCGCGTTGAACAGCAAACAAAAGAGATGCGCTGTGAGATCAATTGAGGGGTAAACTCGTTCTGTAGTGCTCGATGCTACCCAAGGGATGTTGCCAAGACACTACCCCTGGAAGAACAAGGTGCGTTTGATGGCAAATTACAAGTCGAAATCTCGCAAATCTCGTGTTGCGCTTTCTTCGATAACGACCAACTGCGTGACTCGGAAAACGCGCTGTTCGGTCGCGGATTGCGCGAGATGGCACCATTCCTACTTTAGAGTGCGATTAGGCTCATGACATGTAGTGTAGCTGGGGTTTAAATGAACTGCAGAGACCGATGGCTGCCAACATGTCATAGCGAAGGGCTGAAAGTGAGCTCAGGCTTGATAAGTATCCGTCGTCAGGCGCCTGCGAGCTGCAGGTTCCTGCATATTCTTCTATCAATCACCTCGTGTTCGACGTGCGCATGCAACCCAGCCCTTGAAATGGTATCTTGGCCGAAGGAACCGGATCGGATGCAGCGGCCGAACCCTCATCCGGAAAAGGAGCAATCGCATTGAAGTCGGCTGAGCGGCCTCGCGATTTCTTGGCCTTTTCCGAGAGCCGTCAGAGTTTCTAGGCTAGTAAGATGAGCAACAATACGGCGAGTACATGTAGATTATCCAACGCGGATATGCATAAATGTCATCGAGGTGAATTCGGCGAATTGGCCGGGCTAGGGTCCACTTTACCGGAGTTGAAGCCGGGAAAGCCCCCGGGCGGGAGATTCGCGCTACACCCGCAGCTGGAGTAAATCTGGACGAGCCGGTCCGACTGCGACAAACTCAAATGTTTCTAGTTGCCACTCGAAGATCGCTGTCTCTTGTCAGGCGAGAAAATCTCACTGAGCGTGAGGTACGAGACGGAGTTTACCAAGACAATGGGTTCCTGATGACATGAGAAGTTCTCTTCGGTGTATGCGTTCAACGGCTCTGATTTAGTGCGGGATTGAACCACTGGATTATCTCAACTACAATTTGAGCTACAACATCACCTTATGCTGTGGTTTGACCTTATTCCCGGTGAGTAGCCGACTTCTCCTGGTGTCCCAATTCCTCATCACTGTGCGCAAGGTGACCGATTCGGCCTTCGCGATTGTGAAGCTCATCCTGCATCATCTCATCCCCAGCAACCTCTCTCATATCCGAATCATCCGCCACATCAAAGCTCCGTCGCAGATGTTCGGGGCCGATAAAGGTCAACAGCAACACGTAAGCAAACACGCAGCCCATGAAGATGCAGATAACCTTGCCATAATCGTATCGCTTCGTCGTACCCTTTGGTGCGAGAGGGAAGTTCTCGCCAAGGCGGGACTCAATGGTGGAGCTAGCTGACGAGACGAGATTACCGAGCTGGTAGGACGTGCCGACCACGAAGGTGCGGAACGCGCCGGGGCTGAGTTCCATGAGGTGGATGGGAATCACGCCCCACGCGCCCTGCACGCAGAACTGCTCGAAGAAGGCGGCAGCCATGACTGCCTCGGTCGTGACGAAAGTGTAAGGGTACAGCAAAGCACCGCCCACGACGCAGCAAACCATGATGCTGAAACGTCGACCGAAAATCTGACTGCAGTAACCGACAGTCGTGCCACCTAGCATAGCGCCCAGGTTCGCGACTACTTGCGTGACCGTGACCATGTCGGCATTGAAGTTGAACTGGTTCGTCAGCATAGTGGGATACAGATCCTGGCTGCCGTGCGACATGAAGTTGAACCCGGCCATGAGGAGGACCAGGTAGGTCAACAGCAACCAATGTCTGCGAAGCGCCACTTTACCCTCCTTCAAGAAGGTCGAGGTGACGCTCGTGTGCCCAGCCTCTTCAGCGCGTCGGCCGGCCGCCTCGCGGATGCGCTTGTGCTCGATGAAGGTATCGGTCTCGGGCAGCATCAGACGGAACGCGATGAACAGGACTGGCGGACCGGCTCCGAACCAGAAGAGTGGGCGCCAGCCGTGCGGGGTCGTGTTGACCAGCCCTCGGGCAAAGGCCGCGGCTAACAGGTATCCAAAAGCGTACTGATCGGCAGAATCTTAGGTTAGTCTTGTGACGCGACTGACTGAAGGATTTGGGGAGCGTTGGTGGCGGGAATTGATAGTTTGTTGGCTTGGTTTCGGGAATTAAGACTTACACCTTGTTGTAAGACGCCGGACATCATTCCGCGAGTCTCTGCTGGCAGGTCTTCAAGAGCAGTCGCTGCCGCGTTGCCGTACAGACCGCCCATAGCGATTCCGAAGAGCGCACGACATGCTAGGAATTGCTCGTAGGTTTGGCAGAAACCAGTCCCCTGCGGAAATCGGCTCGTTAGCTTGCAACACCAACACAACAAAGATGGCGCAGAACAAAGAGCGGACGCTGATGTCACCACTGCCATGCATGGCACTAGCATCCAGGTGACTGAACAACATCAACCAAGAGAGAGGAGCCTGGGGGAAACGAACGGGTTTGCGGAGGGGGGCAGGGATTCCCCAACGGCGCAGCCAAGACGGGAGAGGGGAGAGGGGAAAGCTTGTCTGGCGCCGGCCAGGCTCGGCACATAATTGCCGGTTGAAGCCAATCAAAGTAGCGCAGTTAGAGAGAAGAGATGACGAGTAATTTTTCTTACCAGCTCAAGGATGATGAAGAGGAGGTTGTTCACGATGAAGGGCCATTTTCTGCCGTAGCGATCTGCTGCGATACCGAAGAGGATGGACCCGACGGATCGGAACATGAGGACCAGTGTAATTCCCCAAGTGATGTCGGTCTTGGACTTGTCAAAAGTCTCGGAGAGTTCGGTGATGGTGAGAGAGACGGTGAAGAAATCGAAGGCGTCCCAGGTCTATCGAGAAGCGTAAGCAAAGATGCAATGTGGTGAACTTGACATGGATGAAGATGGAGGCATACCCAGGCAGCGAAGGCGACAGCGAAAAATGCCCATTGCCTCCTGTTGATCATCTTGACCAGCCTCAACGGGTTCGGCGCGCTCAGCATAGGCGGTTTGAGGGTCGTGAAGCGTGTCCCAAGATAGCGGCCAACGGACATGCCGTGCCATGGCTCTTGGTCCCCATGGTGCTCGATGTGAGGGCTCTCAGGTTCAACGTGTGTTTTATCGTCCATGATGAGCTGTTGATTCCAGTCGCAAACGCAGGCTGAACAGTTGAAGATCAGGACTGCTACCCCCGGCGGGAATTCGTACGGCACCGCGACGGTCTTATACGAATAACGAGGCCTGCCGACGGCATAACCCCGTGAGCACTAATTCAGGAGCGGGGTTATCCATGAGTCAAATACACCTAGAATGATGTAGTGTAGGGCCAACGAGGGTTGTCACCAGTCCGGGGAGGGTGGATGCCGTCCTCCATGTTGGGAGACACAGGGGAGGGCTGGAGAGTTTGGCCAACACATGGGGATAGCACGGTGTTTAGATTTGGAGCACACAGCTAAGAACCAAAAAGCCCGCTAATTAAGCTGCCAGAAAGTATCCTCGCCCATTGGTAATCTTCTGCAAGACACTGGCCAACAACGTTTCTTCTTGCCCTGAAACCAGCAGAGATATCCGACAGCAGAGATATCCGACAAAAGCCTATCGCGAGCTCCTGAATACGCCGAAGTCTGGCCGCAAAATTCACCCGCTGAGTGACAGCTTCCCCAACCGAGCGTCGTCACCCCCAAATGAGACGAACCCTGGGCAGCAAAACGATGGGATATCAGAGACTGTGCGTCTCGTTGTGACCGTGACATCACATCGAAAAAGGCCAAGACGGCAATGGCAAGCGTGCAGCACACCCTTAGGGGGACAACAAACCCACACACCCCTCACTCTGGCTCCCCGGCTGCCGCTGCTAGCCACACAGAACACAAATGATTCTCCTCAAAGACCCTACACACTAACAGACACTGGATCCTCCCCCATGGGCGAACCCCAGCCGCCATTGGCTTGGAATTAGCTTATCTGCTCTTAACAACGGCCCCAAGTACCCAAGCGCCACTCGCTCAGGGACCGGACGGTCGCTAATAATGCGCACGATAGCAGGCGTCAGTTGGCGTTCGCCGGGCCGTAAGCACCACGACAATTTGTGATTCTGCTCTCGTATTTACGTGACGAAACGCAGATTGACATGATTCCGTGGCTGATCTCATACTAAGGTAGTGAGAAGCTACTCGAGTTGTTCTGGAAGCACACGGAGTTGCCCCGCGCCATCGGCGCCGAGATCGGCAGGGACATACCGGGGTTGAGTGGGACTGGCTGCCTTCGGTCTTCCTTCCTGTCCAAGCTCATTGCAATCCGAGCAAGGTAAGCTCTCTGCATGGTTCGATGCCCGTTAGCGAAGCTATTGGTGTTCCTTTAGGAGTCGCATAGCCGCGGAGCCGCGTTTGCGGCTCGGACGACCGGCCGGGGGGTCGCCGTCCATTGCTAACATGTCTCCGGGAGAATTCCGATTATCAGTACCTAGCCGATGAGCCAACATTAAAGAAGCACACGCTACACTGCTACGGTACCATCAGTCAAACCCTTGAGCTCTCCAGGTATAGGATCAATCAGTCACATCATGCCATAAGCGAGGTTCTCGATCAAATTGGATTAATTACCATAGAACGAGACAAATCTGCCAATGTTTGTTGACCATACTTAGGCGACGGGAATCTTAAATCCCGTCTCCTCCTCGAGCAATTTCAACAACTGGTCTTGTCTCTTCTCCTCTTTTGTGAAAGGAACTGGAGTATCTTCCTGTCCGGGAGGCTTGAAGTACTTTCCAGTAACATCTCTACCACCATTTCCCTCCGCCAGCAAAACATAGCTTGCCACTCCGTCCTCTGCCTTTTCAGGTGCGCTAGAACCTCCCATCTTGGTGGGAACCCAGCCAGGATCGACCGAGTTACTCTTCACATCCGGCCACAGACGGGCGACGGCGTTGGCCAACGTCGTGACGTGCAGCTTCGAGTCGCAATACGCCTGATTCTCATTCCAGCCTCCCTCACCGCGTTCGCGCCACGTCGGGTCAGTGAAGCTAGTGTCGCCGCTCTTGTGCAGACCGGAAGAGATGTACACAATCCTCTTGGGCTTGTTGATCAAGGCCGTGAGAATGTAGGGCGCAAAGACGTTGACTGCAGTCAAGCTTGGCAGTCCGAGATCGGTCTTGCGGTACGGCCCGCGGTAGAGACCGGCGTTGTGGATGACGACGTCGAATGTTCCCAGTTTGTTGGCGTCTTCGGCGAGTTTCTTGACCTCTGCAATTTTGGAGAGGTCGCCGATGAGGACTGTCTCGGCGCCTGGAACGGCGGTCTTCGCATCTTCAGCTCGCTGCGCGTTGCGGGCGTGAATGACGACTTGATGGCCGTTCTTGAGGAGGGTGCGGGCAGCGACTGCGCCTAGGCCGTCAGAAGAGCCGGTGATGAGGATTCGAGCCATTTTGTCGATGATAGATGGAATGATTTGTCTGTCAAGATAGCTATGGTGAATATGATCTTGAGTAGGACGCAGTTGTAAAGTCTCAGAAGGCACTTATCCAGCTGAGTAATAGCGCAAGCAGGCTGGAAGCTTAATTCCGCGCATCATCAATAATCGCGAGTCGCGAGCGGGGTCCGGGTTCGGGCGTAAACTGTGGGGTTAGGATTTCGAAGATAATCGAAGGATGTGAGATTCGATCACGTCATCCCGTTATTGAGATAATTACAGACCTCACCAACAATCCAAAGACGTCTAAATTTTCCTGCTGAAGTGTGATGTTTTCAGATTGATCCAAGTCAGTATGAAAACTTTTAGCAAATGTGTGATATAATCAATCGTTTCATTAAAGCTTGAGATATGTAAGATATCGAATTTTGTTGGTGCCAAATCGTAATGACTGTTGCTCCTGCGTATAAATTGCTTTCCGTACTGAACCTCCTACTCTGGACATGTTATATCAGAGACTGGCAGTCCCAAAAATATGGACAGGATCAAAAAAATGTCCGGCGTTGTCCAGTCACACCTGGACTATCAGCTGATGGGAGCAAATTGTGCTTCCTATGGCAAAGACAAAACTATCCAACGTCTAGGGTTGCGGCAAAGGCTTAGGAAGAGAACACAACGTATCTATGTCATAAAGTGCCATGAACAACACTTTTTCGAGGAATAGTAACTTCAGTCCTTGTAAGTCTGTTCAATCATCTCGAGCGCGCACTACCTACTATCCAACGGAGCGATCATCCTCAGCACAAGATCTCTAGTCTAGTAATACCACTTAAGAAGGGACAACGAACATGAATATCCCAACAACGAGCCCGAACATTGTGGACACTTCTCGCTATGCAATTCTTTGTACTACCAAAGAATATCTACCCGCAGAGAAAAGGTACTAGGAGGTTTTCTCAAAGGGAAGGTGCATATGATATCTCAGTGACATACAGGTAGCTCATAGCCTATACTCGGCTCTATACTTGGCCAGTCAAAATGAAAACATGTAAGGCAGATTTATCTAAAGTATTTGGGTATGAACACTCGTTCAACACCTTCGCTATCTCGCACTCTTGCAAAAGATACTTCGGGCATATTCTCTTATCCGTGATATCCCTGGCCAGGATTCTTGCGTCCATTACGACAGGAAGCTATTAGCATCTTTGAGTGTTTTGCGATGTTCAGCACATCATCCAGTCTTGTTGAAGATGGAGCATGACGTTCGATCTTGGTTTTATTGCGGATATTGATGCGAGTATGATGGCTGAGAGTCCGACGGGCCTGAATGTACTCTTTGGGCTCTGGCATCTTCTTTTTCAAAGAGTCTTGACGTTTGTAGTCCAGAAAGTATGATCTTCTGTTGTACCGCTTCTGATGAAAAGATGGGTGCCAATAGAAACTGCTGTTCAGATTTGACCAACCAATGTCGGCATGGTTGTGATAAAATTCAAGGGTTTTCTGGACCAGCAATACCCAAACAGAGATTTTTACTTCTATCCGTTGATGAGTTTCATGCTGGGCAATCCCGGCGTCGTGCTGTCTTCAAGGCATGTGCTCATCGCGCGAGGATGCGGTTTCGCGACATTGAGTCGAAATTCCGGGATCATGCCACGGGTAGTATTGTCTTCTGAAGGAAGGTTACTAAGGTAAGGTAAAATGCCTATGGAATTGCTTGATGTTGGGCTTCGTCCCCTAGGTTCGGTTGACCTGAACGACACCTAATGCTGACACAATTTCTTTCTCACGGAGCGCGCTCAGTGAGAGGACCGCAATGGCAAAAATGCCACCCTCCGATCACTGCCGGTGGCGAAACCTACCGCGACTTGCACGTTGCAGATACATGCCGGCCCACTCTGCTCTCGTATAGCTGATCAGCGAGCTGAAGAATCTTGTTATCGGCATTTGATATCGTATTCGGCGCCGCACGGTCGTCCCTCTTGGTACATGTGCCCCATCGCCACTCTTCAACGAAATGAGCTGCGGCCTGACCGCGACGAAGAATCGCGTTGCCTCGCGCTGCCTTTCATCTATAATTGAGTTTTCATGCCTTCGTGTGACTGTGAATCACTCGGGCTGCTCCATCGACGACCCACCCAATTGAGCTCGGGAAGAACGTCGAGAGCTTCCGCATAGCAAAGCACACGAGGCAAGATGCTATGCCTCCCTACTAGGAACATAAGCAGGAGATCGATTAGAGGCTGGCCGGGAACATGTTCTGGAATTGGATTAAGGCCACGTAAGTCAGGGGAACATTGCAGCAGCGTGGAGGGAGCGAACATCGAAAGATACGGTCGCGGGGGCGGCTTTGCCTCAGATCGAGCTGCGGATGTGATGAATCGGGAAAGCTGTCCGACGCGTCTACGTCTAGAGGAACGCCCACTGCCTAGAGCCCCGAAAGAGTAAAGTAGATGAACCCTACGATTTTGTTATCGGGCATGGAGACAGAACGAGTTAGCTTGGCTCTTAGAGAACTGTACATGTAGGACTACGTAAACCGTAAAAGTGGCAGATTTATAATCCATGGCTGGGCCGTTGTTGGTGGTGAGTGCAGGCGTTCGCCAGCAGAGTTGTACGAAACAACAAGTCAACAAACCTCAACGTATATCGCGCATGTCCAACATCGTTCTAGCCTTGATCGGATTTAAAGTTGGAGAAACATTCGGTACTTTCTAGCTTCGTGCAAGTTGCGAATTGAATTCCTTAAAGACTTGCTCCTCCGAATGGGCTCATGTTTCTTTGTTGGACCCTCCGCTCCAGCCGCCTGGTTAGGTCTCACCCAAGTCTCACCAAGCATGTCAACTCGGACTCCTTTGAGGCCTGTGTTTCCAGCTGCCAAGGGTATTTTGGCCCCAGTGGGCTTAGCTCTGCCTTGCTTGCCACCTTGCCTAACTACTTATGCTGCATGCTAGTGACGGTCTGGATGTGATTATTGTGATAACGCTTGAACTATCGCCAGCAACTGCACTACAAGGAAGTTTTGAGCTGGGGCCACTTCCCCATACGAACCCTCCCGACACTACGATCACGTACGGAAACTTGACAGCGCTATTTACGGCAGTTGAAGTCGTGATTGCCCACGGCCATATTTGCCTACCCACGGTCGCAGTCGCCCTCCCGCAATCGCAACTGTTTATGATTATCATCGAGAACAGACATTTGCGCCTGGAACTCATTACAACCAAGAATAGACAGCCTTGGTCATTATTAACCAACTGCAGCCTCAGCAACTGATCGCCGTGCCTGCGCTATAAGTGCCGTGCGGGCTATGGGTGAGTGCGCTATGTGACTCGTGCGCACCTCTACCGGGGAAAAGTTTAGAGTTGTGGCTGAAGCCTCTTATTGGATAGAAGTGTCTGTCTTTGCCAGTTATCCAAATTTTGCACGGGCCGCTCTATCAGGTATACAAGGTGTAGAAATAGGCCGGCGCGTCGACGGTCGAAAACTCAAAATCGAAGGTGTAGATGTAGCCTTGTCTAGGGGAGATTCGTTTATCCCCTTCCAGAATGACCTACATTTCCAAGGTTCTTTGCTTCGGAAACGCGTTCCGATAACACAACTGGTCTCCTGGTTGACCGAACTGAGACAAACGTAAGTGGCCTGCAGCGCTGTCACGTCACGGGACCAAGCAGTCATATCTTCGCAATGATCATGACTATCACCGTCATCACCATCGAGTAATTTGACTTTTTCTTGGAACACTATGACATGTCTCTTGTTGGAAATAGTCAGATGTTCGTCTGGCGCCCTGAAAGCTCGCCTGGGTTATGTAATACACCTCCGGTTATTTGATTGATCCTCTGGATACTTGGATGATCGTTTGGACTTCAAGCTTTTCAGCCGTCGAGCCGACTAGATCACCCATGCCATGCTCCTAACATGGACCGTGTTGATCAGGGGTCGATTATTGGGACCTGTCACATCCAGACTGAGATCGCTCAGACGCTCGTTCACTCATCCCATCGGCTGGGCGTCTTGTGGCGTTCTTGTCTCGGTGACTAGTGCTGAGTGCATGGTTCGATCGCTACGGCGCTAGCCTAGGGACTTCGACAAAGGCATCCCGCGTTCGTCTGGTGTTTTCCCAATTCGAACCCCTGACCCTGGCTCCGATACAAGATGTTGACGTGCCCGGCCTTGGTTTGCTCTTTTTCAGAGAGTGGGAAAGAGAGAGGGGCGGTCTCCGATTATCCACCACGTCGGGTGAAACGCTTCAGTGCCTATCCTTCATCATGAAGATGAAACGAATCATGAGGGTCGGCATTCTGCTGCTCGTGGCCGCAGTGGCACAGGCGGCGTCCACATCCGGCTTGAACTCGTCTTCTCTGACAGCCCTCATGGCGAGAGTCCCTCATTGCGCAGTGAGTTCACCCAGGTATCACAACTGCAAAAGAACATGTTCTAACCCTCCTATTAAATCACAGATAGGATGCCTTCTCGATGGATACCACTCCGCCCACTGCCCCATTGACAAGATAACAGACTGCGTCTGCACCGACATCCCGTTGCAGGCACGCAGTTCGCAGTGTGTACAGCAGTCATGCGAATTCAACGACCAAATTGGTATGTCAGAGTTAGACGCTGGAGCTCTGTCTCACGCGGTTATCGCTGACTCGATCACATGAAGCCACCGTCAACGTCTCTCAAGAGTTGTGCAAGGACTACCCCATTGAAGAGCAATCACGACCTGCCAAGTTCTTCTCCGTTGCCCTTCCTACCATGACTCTCGTGGTTGTGCTCCTTCGATGTGTGGCCCGCATACAAGTCGCCAGTAGGTTATGGTGGGACGACGGTGCGGCTTTGATGGCCATGGTAAGTTTTCATTCTTGGTGTGGTATATAGAGGAGAACAACCAGTCTAATAAGGTGCTTGCAGGCAATTTTGATAGTAATATCCGGTCTCGGCTACGCAAGTACATGCTGCTCCTTCCCCGTGCTGCATTGACGAGAGGTATAAATACTTACCTGAATAACTATCTAGATGGAGACTTGGGATTCGGACACCACTATTGGAATATCGACCCTGCGCACAGCAAGACGATCCTGCAGGTATGAGATTGTGCAACTTACTTTACACTTGCGGTTGCTTTTTGCTCACAACACTTTCCAGATCATTTACGTCTTGCAGATGCTCTACATCTTCGTGCAGTACGTCAAAGGCTCGCTGTCAAGCAAGGGGGAAGGCAGTAACTAATCATTTTCTTGTGCAGAGGATTTGCCAAAATTTCCATCGCCTGCTTCTATTATCGTGTCTTCACCGGCAAGACCTTCCGCCTCAAGATCAACATCTTCCTAATTTTCCTCACCACGCGCAGTCTCATGTTCCTCCTTCTTGTCATCTTCCAGTGCACCCCAATCCAATCCATCTGGAACCGGGCTATTCCGAGCCAATGTCTCAACCTCTCAGCTATCAGCTCTGGCGGCGCGGCCTGCAGCATTCTTGAAGATATTGTCCTTATCGTTCTCCCCGTTCCGGAGCTTATGAGACTCCAGCTAGACAAGAAAAAGAAGGTCGCTTTGTTCGGCATGTTTGCCCTAGGCTCCTTGTGAGTATTCGTCGTCCATGCTATTGCCTGTAAAGAAACAGAAGCTGACGCGCCGGCGAACCAGTGCATGTGTTGCCAGCATGATCCGACTCAAACAACTGGTCTATTTTGCCCATACATTCGACCCTACGTGTACGTCCTTCACAGGAACTTCTATGAAATTAGCATCAGACTTCCATGCTAACTTGTGTCAAATCTGAAGGGGACTATGTCGGCGTCATAGACTGGTCCTGCGCCGAGCTCAACGCCGCCGTCATGTGCAGTAGCCTCCCAGCCTTACGGCCCCTCTTCGTCAAAGCTCTGGTCCTCGTGTCTTCACGGACATGGAGCGGCCGGGCCACATCCGCCGGCGACAAGTCTCACCAGCACCAGCAACGGCATGGCTTCGCAATGGCCAACATCGGCTCGCACCCTTCGAGGTCCCACCAAGCAAGCGCCCAATCGTGGCCCAAGGATGTGGCACAGAAGCCCGTCAGGCTGGATTCGCTTGAGATAGAGTCCTCGGCGCCGAGTGAGGGGAAGTCATCCCCCTACTACTTGGAGGCGGCGATCGAGCGGAACGGTAGCGACTTAGACAGCGGGCCTTGGTCCGCGAGTGCGGCGTCGACGACGTTTAATGAGGAGCAGATAAAAGATTCGAGCATTAAGAAATAGCTAGCCAGGAATACAAGATTAATTTCTCGCCTACCACGGAGCTTGCTCCAATGGAAACCTCGAACATTGCCGGCGGTGGTGACTTGGTCCACGGCAGGGAGGGTGCAGATCAAAGAATTCGAACATCAAGTTGCTTGGCGTTGCAAGCGCCCAGGAAAGTGGCTTTGTTGTTTCATTGACCTGAACAGCGCTTCGATGCTTACCGCCACAAGCCTTCTCTCGCCACATGTAACCATTGGGGTTGGGGTAACGACAAAGCAAACTGCCCTTCGACCTCATGTTGCCATGGGCAGAGCATCAATCGCGAGTGGCCCAGCCCACAAGATCTTCCGAATTGCGACTTCAGCCCAGTCCGATCGATGTCGAGACAGTCGCCTCCAAGTAAGATAAAGAATTTTGAACAGTTAATTGCAAGGTGGAGACTAGAAGGGTATGCGCATATATACCCGGGGACGAAATGAAACCACAGCTACTAAAAGCGCCGACTTGGTGAGTATCGAGGCATTCAAAGACTTGATGGTCAAAATGGGCCAATCGACTCTTTCGACAGATCTCCTTCGCAGCAGACGCAATGGACATTTCTTCCCATGTCCGAGAAGAGCTTGATAATCCTGCACCGGAAAGTCCTGACACTTATACCCTGGAAGAACACAACACCGTAATCCCAGATGAGCATTCTATGGGCAAGACTCTACGAGAGTACATATATCAAAGAATTCATCAAGAGATCAAACGACCGGAATGGCAGACGATTCGAGTTACCGATTCACTTCAAAGAGACCCTCCCGCAATAATATCCTCTTGGGAAATCAAGAAGCAGCCTACACCGTTCAACTTTCGGCGCCCGACAGCAACGATTATCGACGACTCGACGTTAGAAATCCATTGCTTCCCTTGTCCGGCCTTTGTCCGACACTACAGCAGAGTGATCTCGACGTACTTACAATTTGAAAATAGAGCTACCAAGGTAGAAACACTCATACCGACAGATTTGGTAAGCGAGAATGTCCTCCGGCAATCGAATCTCTCAGAACTTGGAGCAACAGATGTTGTGATTTTCGGTGAAGTCCACAGACTGACTCAACTCGTTTCTGGAATTACATGGGGCTCGCAACATCCAAATGGGCTATTTGCCTGGCATACCTTTGAGTCGGAAGGTGGCAAAAGTATCACCCTGCTGGGGTGCAGAGAGAGTCTCTGGGGCGAAGCGGCAGGGTCCCTAGTCCGTATACTACGGGAGTTCTCGAAGATCCAGTGCCTTATCTATGTTAGCAAAGTTGGATCTCTTGCAGAGAACGTTTCCGCCAACGAGAGAATTGCCACGGGATGCAGATCGACATTCGAAGACGAAGACAAAGATATAACTTGGGACGACCCTCTCCGAGACATAAAGTTGATAGCATTGTCTGATCTAGTCTTGCGGGGACGGCTTGTCTCGGTTCCGTCTCCGTTGTGCGAGACTAAAGAATGGTTAGGGCAATGGCAGGAGACTTGTGCCTGGGTCGACTGCGAAACATGGCACATGGCACAGGCAGCCAAGGACGTCAAAGTCAAGTTTGGTTATTTACACATCGTGTCGGACAACCTTGCAGAGGAGAATGGCGAGAATTTGTCAAATGAGGACTGTAATGGAATCCAAAGTAAAAGGGAAAAATTGTTTCGAGAAATTGAGATCATTTTACGACAGTTCATTAAAACTTGGGACACACAAAACGCTATAAACACCATAGTAACCGAGTCTACATAGAAAGCTTATGCGTGGTGTTTAGACAGACAGAATTTACGAGCAAGTATCAAAGCGAACTCTCTCAAAATGCCATTTTCTCAACGGGTTTCTTTGGGCCTATTGGAGATTCGCAAGTGCGAAATGGCGCAGGTGTTGTTCTTTTAGTGCACTGTTTAGGTTGCTTACTTGTTCCATTCGATTGTTCAGATAATAATTGGAAGATAATCACGGACAATTGTTAAAATTCCGAACCAGTGAAATCGTCATGGGTACGGATTCTGGCCGCATGCTACAACCGCGCTTGGACATTTACATTGATAAAAGGACAGCTATAGATCCACACACTCTGAGCAGCCTCTCTGCCAGACAGGGGCGAATGGGTCGTGGCACTATCTTTACACGGCGATATTAAGAAGGAGTTTCAAAGTCACTGACTCGAGCACCAGCCTTACCTCCTGCCAAGCACATGACACCCATAGCATTGCGGCGCTTGGCTGGATGAGTTCTAGACGCAATGCTACCGCGTTTATTAATCGGGTTTAGGCCATAGCTCTCGGCGGCCCGCGGAAGCGGAAAGCGGACTCGTCACGCTCGGCGACCAACACGAACCGAAGGCTCCGTGAATCAGGGGCTCTGCCGCCATTACCGCTCCGTCCAAGAAAAATGTCTTGATGCCGAGCCACCTCTGTGGGTTCAAGTGGATTTAAGCACTCTATTGACATCTCAGCCCTGCGTTAAGCTTCTTGATATGGAAGGTACTAAGGTCATAGTATGAAAATACAAAAGGGTGAAGTTGGCCCTTTGATCAGTGACTCGTGATGTCTTGGCATGCTCAACTCTCACACTCGTTCAGATTTTCCACAGTCACTCTTTTGTGTGCTGATAACGTTGCAAAATGCAAATATTCACTCTTTTGACATTCCTTGTCGCGACACTCTCTGTGCAGGCTAGACACCATGACGGAGCGGCAGCAGCTCATGACTTGCTAGAGAGAGCCGAACACTACAAACATACCGCCCATCGGCACAATGGCCTGATTCCGCGTCAAACAGGTCCCCTGGATCCTACAGTTACTCCCCCACCATCTTTCAACTCAACGGGCCCAAGCACATTTTCAACTCATTTCTTCACCAACACCACAACAACACATCGCAATACGACATCATCTAGATCGTCCTCAACATCTTCAAGTTCGAAGAGCTCAAGCAAGCGGTCTTCTAGCTCTAGCAAGTCTTCAAGCAGGAGTTCAACGTCATCTAGTTCCAGTACCGCCTCGTCCTCTAGTAGTAGTAGCTCCCGTGCGTCTTCGTCTTCGAGTTCCCAGGCTAGCAGCTCTCAGAGCTCCTCCACGTTTAGCTCCAGCATTAGCTCAAGCCTCAGTTCTAGCGCACGAACATCCTCAACACTCACGTCTGGTACATCTTTATCTAGTACCCCGGTTTCCTCTTCCTCCGAGACTACTTCCACAGGAACATCTTCCAATTCGGTATCTAGCACAGGTTCGAGGCCCACTGAATCGAGTGCCAAAAGTACTTGGAGCAGGAGGGAATCTACACAAACATCTGTCTCGTCCGAAACCTTTTCCTTGACCATATCCTCCGGCGTCTCATGGTCTACGAGCTACACGACAGCTACTTATACTACTGTGGATGCTAATGGAAATCCGTATGTCCCTGTGGCTCCGATCGCTATTCCTGTAGTTGGTGGTGTGCCCGTGGTTCCTCCTGTTGGTGGCGGTGGTGGAGGTGGAGGCGGGGCAGGAGCGGACTCAACGACCACGACGACGAGCTCTAGTCCTAGCTCTAGCTCCAGTCCACCAACGCCAACTAGCTCGATACCAGCAAGCACCTCCTCTAGCTCGGTTGATCCAATCACATCAGCTGTGGAGTCATCTTCAGGGTCATCTATCGTGGAAGTTGTAACAGTAACATCTCCCGAGACAACAATTGAGGTCATTGAGACTGCTACGTCTGCCGCGCCGGTTTCAACTAGTGCTGCGCCATCTCCGGTTCCCTGCTATGTGAGTACACCTTGTCTTTTGCTATCCAGAGGACCTGAATAGGATCCGCCTACCTTTCTGCGTTCGTACCTAGGGGCAATCTACTAACAACTGCCGTTGTAGAACTACGACTGGAAATCATATGGCTGGTGCTGCCCTGGCCCAGAATCTCCTTGCCAGAATGACCTAGGCACCTGCTACTTTGATGGCTCAGGGGCTACCAATGTATTGCCAAACACAGCTGCTTGTCCGCCCGGAGAGGGCGCGAGAAGTTAAATGGGTCAGATTGAGCGAGAAATATTTGCTATGATGTGCGTGAAGAAAAAAGCGTTAGATCATGCGGGACTGTGGTAAGATTGCCATGGTATATTCTGGGTACAAGTAAGGACGGAGTGTAAAATTCAGAACAACAGACTCAACGTAAGCACTGTTGACACAAGAAGATCTTTTTGTATTTCTTACTCAATCGTTCGTGGAATAAAAACCCCGCCTCTCTAAGTGATAGACTACGATGAGTTAGACTATCTGGTGTGCAGTGAGCACTAAAGGAACCAATGTAGCTGAAAGTTTCCTCGGCTATGCTTACATACATGAGAATGCAACACTTCTTCTTTGCTTACGATATATGAGAATGTAACGGCTTGGCTCTGCTGACGGTACGTGAGAATGGGAGGGCGGATGATAAGCGCTAGTTCATCACAGTCTCGGGCGAAGGTCATATTCGTACGAGACAGGATGGTCGGTTCCGATTTCTGTCAACGCTTTACCATTTATGCACCAATCTCCGAAGAACTCTCACTATTTGTAGAACTCAAGGAATAAGCGAAATCTGTAGAATCCTATGGGATTCATGAAAATCGCATGCTCATCAAAAGACGGACGAGAGGAATCGATGAGAGCCATGTTCATGCATCCTCGCACCTAGTTCGGTCCTGATCGTGAACTCGCCACGTATAAGAGGAATATGACACCGCTATCATCTCAGCAATAGATGCTTCATCCCTCTGACATTACTGGCTCTTTCCTCTTTTCCACTGAGCTGTGGATTGTGCGAGGCGATTTCAACATGCGTCGATTACACCCAATCTTCTGGCTTGCTTCTTTAAGCTGTCTTGTCGCGGCTGATTCTTGGTCACCGCCGGACGGCCCATCTCTGTATGGAAACGGTTCCTACGCTGCGGACGTTCTTGTGCTGGCGGGCAATGAGACGTGGACGAACTACCCAGACAACGAAGACTCTTCTGGCAATACCCACACTTTCAAGAAGCGTGCCGAGGATTTCTACCTGCGGATCCTTCCTCTCGGTGCATCAATCACCAGGGGCGTTTTCTCGAGCGACAACAATGGCTACCGTAAGGCGTTGCGCGAACAACTAAGGTTTGAGGGCTGGAAAGTCAACATGGTTGGATCCAAGCAGGATGGCACTATGGCTGACAACGTGAGCCGCAAAGCGTTCTGAGAAAGGGACATCTCATAGCTGATTCCGCCTCTCTAGGACAACGAAGGGCATCCGGGCGCCTGGGTGCACCAAGTGAATGAGAAATTTCGCCTTTCATCCTACCAGAAGCCCAATCTCGTACTGATTAACGCTGGAACGTGAGTCCTTGTTCTATAGAGTCACAGAAATCCGTGCATACTGAACCCCAGGCAGGAATGACTGCGAGAACCGCCAGGACCCAGAGACTACAATCAAGAATATGAGGACAATGATTGACGAGATATTCAAGACACTGCCGGACACAACGGTCATCCTCTCGTCTCTGGTTAAAAGTGGAAAGGATGATGGCATCAAGGCCTGCGCTGCAGCCGTGAGCCAAGGATATCGCAACCTGGTCTACACGACGTATCGCGGCTACAGGATCTCTTATGCCAACATTCACGATGCCATAAGCCTCTCTCAGATTGGAGATGGAACGCATCCGACTGATGAGGGCTATAGGCTCTTTGCTTCTGTGTGGGTGGCTGCCATCAATCGAATCGCGAAGAAGATCAAGCCGCCGCCCAACGTCGAGACGGTCAATGATGCCGAGGTCACCAAAACGACCAAATGCCAGAAAATTCCCGGAACTGCTCGACGAGTTCAAACTCAACGAGGTAGCGGCCACGATGATGGGAACTATGTTCACGATCGTGTTGAGCGAGGAATTGTCGAATCAGGAAAGATCATTAAGTACACGAGGACATCTGCCCCAGGATCCCCCACCGACTATATGTTCTTTGCGAACATCGTCAAGGGGGACCCGAACTCACCACGTAGTGCATCACTCGATGACCTCGTCTACGCGACCATCGACGCAAGTCAGGAGCTTACATGGATGTATCGTCGGAACTTGGCCGCAGGGGGCTCATTTGGGCCAACCGTGGAATTTGAAACGGACCTCAATTGTGGCGTGAACGATAGTAAGTTAATACCTGACTACTAGTATGTGCCTAGGAGTCAAAAACGTCGGCTTAGTCAGAATTATCCACTAACATCCTTCCTCCGTGTAGCTTATGCCTTCGGAGACTTCAACAACGATGGCCTGGATGACTTCTTCTGCATCAAACCCGGGGCTTCAGTGTGGGCTTCACTGAATAAGGGTGGCACACCACCAGCCTTCCGATCTATCGGCCAGGCAAGTCGCATCATCATTTGACCCAGACTCGCTCAGCTACTAATCATCGCGACCTGCAGATCATCGGCCCCAGTGAAAGAACACAAAGAGAGGTTCGCATGGCGGACATTGACGGTGACGGAAGAGTCGACTTTTGCCTAGTCAGTGATGACGATGTCAAGTGTTCCCGAAACGGTGGAAAGGGAGACGAGCATTTCTGGCAAGGGTTTCAGACTGCTAGTAGTATCAGGGAAACTGTGTTCAACGCTAGGAGTGGGCCGTTGTCGGGCGTTGAACTTGCCGACCTGAATGGCGAGTAAGTCCAGCCACGTCTGGTATCTAGCCTGTGTTCTTTATGCTGACCGAGACAATTTCCCCAGCTACCGAACTGACTTCCTGTACGTGGGAGACAACGGTAACGTGGACACATACATCAACCAGCGCGGATCGGGGAAGGGTATTGTCCCTGACTGGCGAAAGGCCGGAGTCACGCATCCTGGTCAAGCGGTGACGGGTGTCCGTGGCAACATCAAGTTTGGCCGCATCTACGGATCCGGTAGGCTTGATTATATTTACATGAAAGAGGAAGAAGAGTGGTTTGATATGATTGTCTTCGAAAACAAGGGATCGGGGGGCACAAGACGTAAAGGTGATGGCAACTTTTACTGCGACATGCGCGGTACTGGCGCTGATGATCTCGTTTGGATCTACTACGACGGCCGAGCGGATGAGATCAACACGAACATCCATTCCCCGCCGAATTGGGGCCATGATACCTCGATCACGCTGACAGTACCCGGACCCCGGACGGGCATTCACTTAGCTGATTGGACCGGAAACGGAAGATGCGATGTGCTTGTCCAAAATAAAGCTACCGGGGCTCTGACGTTGTATGAAAACAACTACGATGCTGGCGCAAAGGCACTCACGTTCAGCAACCGGGGCGTTGTTGCAAACACTGGCTGCACAGAAGGCTGGGGCGTGGGTATCTTTGATAGAGGCATGCGCTTGGCAGACATTGAGTGAGTGCTTCCCCAGTATCGCCACTCAGAAGGCTGTAACTGACGCTAACATACTATCTTACAGTGGCGACGGGCGAGCCGATCCTATTTGCATTGAGTTAAGTGGCCGGATGACTGCCTGGCTCAATAGACAGAGTGGCCTTTTCGATGCTGGCCAGATCAAATTTGCAGAATCATGGGATCGCGCTAATATCCGCTTTGCCGACGTGGAGAACTCGGGGAGGGCTGACATCATCTGGATGAACAAATACACTGGAGCCAGCACAGTCTTCAAGAACAATGGCTACCAGAGCGGTGGTGCCGCTGGAGGTTCCTCTTTCTCTTGGACAAACCGGGGTGTCCTCTACAGCGGCGTTGACCGTGGAGAATGTTTGGTAAGGCTTTTGCTCTCTCGACCAACGCGACTGAGGTGTATCAAGAGTGGAACCTGCTGACGCATATGAACTCAGCACTTCGCAAATCTCGGCGGGCTAGGGCGAGCTGATCTCATCGAAGTCGACCCTGCAACGAATGCAGCATACACCAACTTCAACGAATGCAACGGAAGCGGCGGCGATGATGGCGCCGTCAGCGACCCTGGATTGCCATCATACTCTACCAACGATCCGCTCATCCTCTGGGACTATGCTCCTGTGTATGCCCAAGACAGCAACCCACCATATCCACCTCTCAAGAATGAGGATGAGTCCGACATTGCTATTGAAAACCTGCGCGAGACTCGTCTCTTTGGATTTTACCAGTGCGATGCTGAGACGTTCAGCAACATCAAAAACGGCTGGCGTGACTTCAACCGCCTCAGTTTGATGGACCGCCTATCGAGCAATATCGACTGGAACAGCCAAGGCATCAATGAGTTCTTCGGACAAGGCGACAGAAAGACAATGTCTGACGATAAGAAGAAACAGATCCAGAACATCTTCTACTACACCTCCCAGATGTGGACCCATTGGTGGACAGACTGGGGTCCTCCCAATTACATCGACTCGTGGCAGTACCTGTGGATTGAGGTCTCATGCAGCCTCGGCGATGGTTCTGGGGACCCCGAAAACTACTGCGGAGACAAGGAAAATCCTTCTCAAGGAGGTCCCGCTGCCCTGATAACGTGGAAATGGGACGAGAACCGCTATACGCGGGCGCTTGTCTGCAGGAAGTACACTACCCTGGGGAAGGATTTGGACGACCTAACAAGATATATGAACACAGAGAAGACTGCGGAAGACCGTCTGAACTTGACAAACTGGGAACACGCTAGGGGAGGGTATTGGCTGCACGAGGCGACGCATATGGATTATTTCATGAACACACCATCGTCGGGATCGGGACCAGTCGTCAGAGACCTCCTTGTCGACTACAGTGACGGTCGCGGGGATAGGAAAGCCTACGGTATTGGCAATGCTAAGCAATTAGCCAATTACGATCGTTACTTCACACCCGGCGAGTATACGCAACAAAACTGTAAGCTCCAATCTTCCTCGGTTGACAATGGAGGGCATCTCAGCAACTAACAATCTACACTGAAAAGCCGACAACTACAGATTTTACGCCATGTCCAAATGGGTGGAGGCAAATTCTGTCGAGAGGACCTATCCCTACAAGCCGAGCTTCAATCCTGTTGCGATGCCCGCGTTCCCGCCTAAAGTTCCCGATGAAGGGTAGTGGTCTCAGGGTGGGTTAGATCTAGTTTGGGATGCAATTAAGATCAGATCGTGGAATGACTCACCAGCCATGGGCAACACTAAAACCTAGCTATTTCACTATGCTACTCTGACTTCCCGCGGCATGAACCATAAAGTACTGTCTTCGTCACATGATAATCCTCGGTGTGCCACGTTGTAAACAGCCTCAATGTCTAAGGTAAGTTTTCGACTCATTGGAGATCCAACCATAAATGAAAAAGTCCTACGCCTTCGTGCAAACCAGCCAAAAGCTAAAGGAACCTGCAATCGTCCTCACACTTGCACACCACAAAAACACATTCACACCAGCCGCAATATCAAATCACGCAAAGGCATTTTAGGAATGGCAAGCGAAACCAGCACCAATTATGAGAGCAAGCCACTGTTGAGAGATTATTTGAAGAGTCATATGTATGCAGTAAGTCAGCCTACCCACTTTCTGGCACCCCCCTGTTTCTGGCACCTACAAAAACGCAAAAATCCACCATAACGTAATACCTACCCCTAACCTTCTTTTATTATAATATTTTTAATTTATATTTAAATAGGCTTATCTTCTATATATACCTTTTTTTATATCTAATACCTTAATATATTAAAAATTAACTTCGTTAAGCTTTTAAAAATATTATAAATAATAAGAATTAAAAAAGAGCTTTATTAAAATATAAGATATTATAATTAACCCTCTAATTTTGTTTATAAAGTAATTAAACTAAAAACTAGCTTTTACTAACTTATAAAAGCTATTTCCTAACTAAGAGATTAAATTAATATAATAAGTTTATATTTAAATTTTACTAAGTCTCGTATTAATATATTAATAAGTAAAGGAATTTATAAAATAAGTTCTAATTATTACTAGGGATATAACTTATTAAAAAGGCTAAATTAATACTTTTATTAAAAGAACCTATTATTAAGGTTTAAAGAAGTCGTACTATCAATTCTAAACATATTAATAGGGTATTTATTAAAGTTATTAAGAACTAGTTTAAGTTTTATTATTTTTAAGATTAAGGATATTAAACTAATTAATAAGTTTAATATAAATAAGACTAATATTCTTAAGGATTAGGGAGTTAATAAGTTAATATTAAATATAATTAAAATAATATTTATTTATAAAAAATAACCTAGGTTAAGGGTATAAGTATTTATTATTAAATATATTTTAGCCTAAATAGGTACTTTATTCTTTTATTATTTTTACAAGAAAATAATTTAATAATAATAATTTTTATTATATCTAGATTTATATAATAAATAGGTATTTATAATAATAAATAATAGTTAGATTATAAACTTAATTATGATTAAATAATTATAAAAAGTATTTATTTTTAGATTATACTTAAAACTAAAGGAAGCTCGATTATTAATTATAAATAAATATAAAAGTTATATAATAATAGATTTTATATAGAATTATTATATTAATAATATTTATTTACTATTTTTATTATTATACTCCTCTTATATTTTTAATTATTTAATTAATCTATTTTTAATTTAATTAAGTTAGTTTATTAAAAAGAGCTCGGTTATTTATTTAAATAGAACGATTTTATTATTATAAATAAAAAGAACTTCCTAAACTATTATTAAAAAGCTTAGTTTATTAATTTATTAATCTTAAATATTAAAAATAATTAAAAATAGATTAGTTTATACTTTATAACTCTAATTAAACCCCTAATAAACTTAATAATTGTTACGACCCAACACGCATGACAAGGCCAGGGCCTGCCCCACAGGACCTACGGCGGCTACCACACCATATATGCGGGAACACGAACTCAGGGCGACTCCTCTCGGGACGGAAGAACTATGGGACAAGTCACGTGACGATAAGAGATAAGGAACTCCGTACGTTCGAGATACGGGGTCCGTCCTTTCACGATACGGAACCCGTATGTTCAGAACACGGGAACCGTTGGGTAAACATACGGACAAAGAATATGTTCAGGAACGAGACTTGTATATAGTGTGGACTTGAGCCGGGCACAAGGACAGACTTCCATAGCTTCTTCAGCAATCAACTTAGTATCAGATCTTACGATCGCTTTCAGCTATCTTCACTGAGAACCCCTTCTGACAAGACTACGATTGATCACCGAAGCCTTACCCACCTTACGATTTACAGACATAGCTTCAGGAAGCTATCCACGACTACGACACTGTTTACTTAGTTATCGCAGCCTCAACTTCTGCTAACATACTCACTACGACTAGCTGGCCGTAACACTTTGATTGCTCCTGTTCAGTAAGTTCACTCTACGAAAAACTAACTAAACAGTACGAACGATGTCGTCCCGCGCCTCAGCCAAATCTCTACCCGGGCTCTTCAGCCTCTTCCAAACAACCTGTTCGAAGCCTGGCCGAGGAAATGGAGACAGCTCCTATGAACGTCGACTCCGACGATGAGGTCACCCTCAAAAAGACCTACGATCGACTCCGCGAGAGAGTCAAGAAAGGACGCAGACATCGCCAAGGTACAGACCATGTACAACGAAACCGCGAATGAGCTCCAAAACCTCAAGATCATGATCCAGCAGTTCGGGAATGGCCCTCAGCGCATTCAGGACCTGGAGAACGAAGTCATCCGACTCAGAACAAGAAGCAAGTACCAATGTTCAGGCGCTTCGGGAGAGGTCAACACTCTCCGAGCCGCTGCCAACATCATTGGTACCCCCATCCAGGGAGGACGACAGAAACTCAAACTCAGCGCACCCATCACCTATGACGGCACCCCAGGTACTCTCAAGGGATTTCTGATTCAAGTCAAAAACTATCAGAACTTCCATCACGGAGACTTCACCAGCGAAACCGAGAAAGTTGTGCACGCCGCCAGCTTCCTCAGGGGACGAGCCCTCAAGTGGTTTGAACCTATCCAGGAAGAATATCTCAGCAAAGAAACTCTTGACGAGTGCTCTACTGAAGTACGCGACATCTACAGTAACTTCAATGGATTCGAAGAAGCTCTCAGGTCCCTATTCCAGGACCCTGACGAGAAACGACAAGCTGAACGCGACCTAGCGCAGCTACGACAAACCAAATCGGCAAGGAATATTCCGCCGAATTCAGACGTCTCAGTGCCCAACTGGACCTCACTGACGACACCAAAATGTTCATGTTCTACCAAGGACTGAAGGACGAAGTCAAGGACGAGCTGGTCAAGCTCGACAGACCAGAAGACTTCCTTCAGTACGGAGAACTCGCCATCAGAATTGACAACCGACTCTATGAACGCAAGAAGGAAAGGAAGGAACGACCTAACACCGGACGCAAGTACCAATGGCAACCTCAACGCAGTTTCCAGGCGAACCAGCGACCTCGCAACAACTGGAACAACAACCGACAAAGCACTGCCTACGGACAACATGACGGTCCCATGGATCTCAGTGTCGCCAAGAGAGACAACCGCCCCAGGAAGGACTTCAAATGCTACAACTGCGACAAGCCAGGACACATGGCTAGAGACTGCCGACAACCCAAACGCATCCAACACCAACCCGTTCCAGAAAAACGAGCCAATATCGCGAGCAAGGAAATTCCCCGCACAACTCTCATGGACGGCTTGCTACGACGACAACTGCCTTATTCACCAAGACAGTAAGGAACAAACCGGATGGTACCCTAAAAACCAAGAACAACGAACGACCCGGATACGACACCACCCCACCACCTGTCAAGACCCTAGCGGTGGCAACCAAAGAAGAAGAGATACCCATCTACCGACCTCACCCTCGAGGATAACAACATCGAATGTGTCGCCATACTCTCTCAAATCTGCCAGAATATAGAAGAAGGCCAAGACAGACCCCATCATGAAGGATACCCTTCATCTCCTTGAAGAAAGAATCATGCAAAGACTTCAGGCAAGTACAAGGAGCAACTCCTCAAATTCGAAGAAAGAGGCCCCACACAGAAGAAATCATGGGTAATCTCGTCCACATGGCACGACGAAACAACAAGAAACAATCCCTTAGGAAGAAGGGACCCCCATCGGACGACATCCCGACCAAATCCATCTGTGTGATGCGACGAGACGACGGAAACAAAAAATTCATTCGCAAGGTCAAAGAACAACTCAAGAACCTAGAACGCGAAGACAAAATCGAAGTAATCAAGAGGCCCAATCTTGACTTCGAAATCAAGAATGGAAAGGTAGACTTTCGACTCAAGAAGGACGAACTTGAGATCGGCTCCAGCAGCCACACCTTCGACGAAGAATCACCCTATGATTCGGACGAACCTCGCGACGTCGCTCGACGACGTGCTCAGACGGAGATCGACCATGGATTCTATCCTAGTGTGGACGACACCAGCTCTGATGAGGAACCCGAAGAACCACGGTGTAAGAACATTGATCCGTACGAAGACGACCAGACAGTACAGTTCCACGGAACTAGTCAACCTAAGGAAGTACCTATGACACCACTAGTCAAAGGAGATAGCTCCTTGCTCAACACCAAGGACGCATTCCACGAAGAATTATTTTGGGCAGAATGCCTCGACGATAAGTGTCTCTGGCTCTCACCCAAGAAAGAAAGTCGCTTCTACCCCCGAAGACGCGACGACCGACCTATCAAGGACGTCTACGTCGACGACCAACTACCGAACTGGACGCTCACATACTTCAATGGACTCGACAAGGCAACATTCGAACCAGACCCATGCTTTCCTATGCGATGCCAGAACAGCAACGACATGGAATGGGACGAATGTAGACACGACCATTGTCAGATCCACTACGTTCCCAAATCCCAAGCCTGGAGGGAACGAGAGGAACAAATTGAACAAGAAGCACGACTGAGAAACAGACTGTCAAAAAACTAGGAAGGCCAATCGCAAAGGAACGACGAAAGGCGAAAATCGAAGACAAGTTCCTATGTGCAACCAGACAGTGCAACGACGCACACCTATGGGTCAAACTCGAAATACACGGACACAGACTGCGCGCTATAATCGACAGCGGCGCACAAGGAAGTTTCATATCACCAAGAGTAATGAACAAACTCGACCTACCATGGGTATGGAAGGACAATCCATACAAACTACAAACGGTAGAAGGAGAAAGAGTTGACTATGATGACGGATATGTCAATCGAGAGACCGTACACCTTTCGACATATATCAACGATCAACAAGAACAACTACAGTACGACATCACGGAGATTGGAGACATCGACGTCATCCTAGGAATCTCGTGGTTACGAAAACACAACCCACGGATAGATTGGACCACTGGCCAGGTCCTATGGGAAAATCCAGTCACTGAACGACCTAAGAAAAAGGGTTCAAACGGATTTCAAGCAACACCTGAAGAACAAGAACAAACACGATACATAGCCTTCATCAGGACGATAGAAGACGACAGGATGTTCGCACCCGGTACCGACGATCGAGGATCGCAACGACTCCAGACTATACCCGAGGAGTACCGGATATACACGAAACTATTCATGGAACCTGAAGAAACAGGGTTACCAGAACACAGCAGCTGGGATATGGAAATCGAACTCAAAGAAGGAACGCAACCCGGGTTCTATCAATATACCCTATGAATCAAGAAGAACAAGACTATCTCGACGAGTACATCGACGAGAAGCTCGAAAAGGGACATATTCGACCTTCGAAATCCCCCGCAGGATTCCCCTTATTCTTCGTACCAAAGAAAGGAGGAAAATCGAGACCAGTTATCGACTACAGGAAACTCAACGAAATCACGAAGAAGAATTGCTATCCTTTACCCCTCATCACTGAGCTCAGAGACCTACTTCACGGAGCCAACTGGTTCACCGCGATAGATCTCAAGGAAGCATTCAACCAGATTCGAATCAAGGAAGGAGACGAGTGGAAGACGGCATTTCGGACTCGCAGAGGACTCTTCGAGTACCTCGTCATGCCCTTCGGACTTACCAATGCTCCGGCAACCTTTCAAACGATGGTCAACCACGTACTCCGGGAGTTCGTTGACATCTTTGTTGTTGTCTACATTGATGATGTTCTCATCTTCTCTCCCGACCTCGAAACACACAAGGAGCATGTCCACATGGTATTTCAGAAACTCCAGGATGCCAAACTGTACGCCGAACCTCCAAGTGCGAGTTTCACGTACAGAAGGTAGACTTCCTCGGATACACCATCACGCCAGGACAAATCCATGCAAGCATCAAAGGTGGAAGCAGTCAGGGACTGGCCTACACCGCAGAACGTCAAGGACGTACAAGGATTCTTGGGATTCGTCAACTTCTATCGACGATTTCTCAAGGACTATGCCAACATCGTCAGACCTCTCAACAACTTGACACGAAAGGATGCCCCATTCATTTGGGATCCCAAGTGCGAAGAAGCATTCACCAGGTCAAAAATATGGTCGTCTCGGAACCAGTTACCAGAATTCCAGACCCGGAAGCCCTTTGAAGTCGAGACTGACGCCTCAGACTTCGCCATGGGAGCGGTCTTGGGACAACGAGACGAACAAGGAAAGCTTCACCCATGTTGTTTCTACTCAAAGCATTTCACGGAGCAGAATTGAATTGGCAAATCCACGACAAAGAACTGATGGCCATCATCGAAGCATTTCGAGAATGGAGACCACAGTTATCCGGAACCAAGCATGAAGTCACAGTCTACACAGACCACAAGAATCTCGCGAACTTCACGACAAACAAGAACCTGAACAAACGACAAGTCAGATGGAGCGAGTTCCTATCTGAATACAACTTCCGAATCATTTATCGGAAAGGTTCAGAAAACAGCAGAGCAGACGCTCTCAGCAGAAGACCCGACCACGAAGTCACGGTCCCCGAGGAGACACAGGTTATCCTCAAACAAGAAGAAGACGGTAGCCTTGTACCAACTACGAAGCTTCTTATGATAGCCAGAAGGATCAGTACCAGCCCGACTGGAAGGATGACCCCTGAGCTCATCATGGAAATTCACAGTGCACCTGCACACGGTCACCAAGGAGTTACCAAAACGTGGAAACGGATTCGCCAGCACTACGACAAATCCGCCACACGCGCAGAAATTGCGGAAGCAATTAAGGACTGTGCGACCTGCAAAGCAAGAACAGCCCGCACAAGCCCTATGGCGAGCTGCAACCATTGCAACCACCAACGGAAGCATGGCAATCAATCTCATGGGACTTTATCGTCAAACTACCAAAGTCCAAGAACCACTCACGAACGTATGGTACGACAGCATCTTGGTTATAGTCGATCGACTCACCAAGTTCGCCCACTTTATACCTTACAAAGAGGCCAGCAGCGCAGAGGTTAGCGTACACGTTCCTCAAAATCGTTGTTGCCAACCACGGTACGCCGAAGGAAATTATCTCTGACAGAGGCTCTCTGTTTACTTCAAAGTTTTGGAGATCCCTGATCTCGCAACTTGGTACAGATCACAAACTGTCAACCTCTTTCCACCCGCAGACCGATGGACAGACAGAAAGAATCAACCAGATTCTCGAGACATACCTCCGTTGTTATGTGAACTACGATCAGAACAACTGGGTAACATTATTACCAATGGCCCAATTCGCATACAACAGTGCAGTTGGCGAAAGCACAAGAGAATCCCGTTCTACTTGAACTACGGATATCAGCCAACAGTGTACGGAGAAGCACGACAAGGACCACAAGCTGTTAAAGCAGTGGCCAGCGTGGCAAAACTCAAAGAAATCCAGAAGAAAGCATCTTTGGATCTCGAGCTTGTACGTCAACGCATGAAGAAAAACGCGAATAGATCAAGGATTGGAGGACCAACCTTGGAAGAGGAGATAGCGCCTACCTCCTTCGCCGCAACATCAAAACAAAACGACCAAGCGACAAACTGGACTACAAAAAGCTCGGACCTTTCGAAATCATTCAGAAAGTCTCAAACGTCAACTACAAGTTGAGACTACCAGATGAAGTGTCATCCAGTCTTTCACATTTCACTTCTCGAACCAGCACCTAAGGGCTCACACAGAAGATTGCATCATCGTGGAACCCAATGAACCAGAATACGAAGTCGAAAAAATCATCGACCATAGAGTCAGGAACGAAACAAAAGAATTCTTAATCAAATGGAAAAACTACGGACACGAGGAAAACACATGGGAACCCGTCACGAACCTCCAGAACTCTCGACAGCTTCTCGAGGATTACCAGAAGACGACACCAACGGCCCCAGGGACGCGAACTCGTCGCCAATCCCGAAAGAAGGCCAGTCGGCATCATTAGAAACGCCAGCAGCCTGGAGATCGCTCACGACCCACCGCTCGTGAGCATCCAGCGCAGGAAGAACACCATCCTCTTCTTCCAACTCCTGCATACCACGAGCAAAAGTTTCCACATGCCTCTCCTTCACTTTCTTTCGGATCGCCCGGATACGAGCAAGACGGCCCGCTGCCTCAGCAACCTCTGACTGTATCCGAGCCAGTTTTTCATGAAGATCGAGCAAGGCGTCGCTAGCCTGCTCCTCCTTCTCTTCCCATTCTTGACGCTGGTCACTCAGCCGTTGCACTACGAAATAGTCAGCCTAAGAAACCGGAACAACGGCGGAAGCACGAACGACTCGATGCCACAACGAGACCATCGCAAGAACGCTTCAGGTTTTTGCAGCCTTGGCACGTTTTGGCGCCATCAGCCATCCGACATGGACGTTTGGCGCGAAAACACCGAGTGCAGGGCATAACGTCGCTAGAACCAAAACGATCAAACACGTCGTCACAAGCCGACCGAAGTTTCGAGATAGTGTTTTTCAAAGAACGTTTTTCAACACGACCTGACATCGTGTCAGCACATTGCGCTAGAAAGGCAAGCTTGATGATTCCCCAACCTGGGAACAAGGGACCTACTTATAGGCCTAGAGGACTAGACCTTTGAGAGGAGGAGCTGATGTTACGACCCAACACGCATGACAAGGCCAGGGCCTGCCCCACAGGACCTACGGCGGCTACCACACCATATATGCGGGAACACGAACTCAGGGCGACTCCTCTCGGGACGGAAGAACTATGGGACAAGTCACGTGACGATAAGAGATAAGGAACTCCGTACGTTCGAGATACGGGGTCCGTCCTTTCACGATACGGAACCCGTATGTTCAGAACACGGGAACCGTTGGGTAAACATACGGACAAAGAATATGTTCAGGAACGAGACTTGTATATAGTGTGGACTTGAGCCGGGCACAAGGACAGACTTCCATAGCTTCTTCAGCAATCAACTTAGTATCAGATCTTACGATCGCTTTCAGCTATCTTCACTGAGAACCCCTTCTGACAAGACTACGATTGATCACCGAAGCCTTACCCACCTTACGATTTACAGACATAGCTTCAGGGAAGCTATCCACGACTACGACACTGTTTACTTAGTTATCGCAGCCTCAACTTCTGCTAACATACTCACTACGACTAGCTGGCCGTAACAATAATACTACTTAAACCTCTTATTAAGCTTATAATACTTAAACTAATTAATTAGGATAAAAAGCGATATTATAATAATTAATAAACTACCCTAATTAAGTTATAGGATTCTATTACCTCTATAATAGCCTAGTTAACTCTTAAAAAACTAATAGATCTTAGTAATTAATTATATTTATATACTTAACTTAATAATAATATTAATATATAATAGCTATTATTTAAAAAATAAAAAAAGCTTTATAAAGTAAGCTTAATAATTAATAATTACCTAATAATAACTAGCCCTTTTACGGGCTTAAGTTATTAATATTATAATAAAAAAAGGGTTATTTAAATTAATTTTAATATAAAATTCGTAAATATTAGGAATATTTATTAAGCTTAAATTAAAATAAAAAAAAAAGAGGTTATTATAGCTAAATCTAGCGAGTTTAGTTACTTTAGTAAGGCTAGTAGTTATATTATAGTAAGTAAGGTTAAGGATTAATAATTAATAATAATAAGGAGGTTAGGTTATGATCCCATTGTTTTTATAGTGCCAGAAACAGGGGGGTGCCAGAAAGTGGGTAGGCTGACTTACCGTGTCTCATCAAGGCAAGAAATACGCAGGACCTGGGGTATGTGACAATTTTATTAAGGCACAATATACAAAGTACTAAGCAAGGCTTCCCATGTAAGCTAATGATCAACATGCAATGGTCTATGTAGTCTAAAAGTCTTGACGGAATCTCGGGCTCCTTCTAATCCTCTCGCCGAAAGTATACAATATCCATGGCACTGGCGCAGCAGCGAGTGTCAGCAGTCCCAGCAAGGTGTTTCCCCATCCAAGACCCAATTTGTTGTACAACTGCAATCCTCCGAGAGGCAGCAGAGCGCCCAGCAGACTCCTCAACACGGCGTTTGCGGCAGTGACGGAAGCAGCGTAGAGCGTGAATGCGTCGACCAAGTAAGTGTTGATCGTCATGAGAATACCAATCGAGCCGAAGCCCATGATACCGGTGCCAATCATCGGCAGGATCCAGTGAAGCTGCTTATCCGCCGTCCAGCCGTACATCATGAGACCGATGGGGATCGTGAGTGAAGAGGGCACCGTGAGGATGAGATGCAGGCGGTCCTCGGGCTTGGGATCCTTGCCCTCGGCTTGTCGTCTCTGGATAATCTTATCCGACAAGGTTCCGACGTAGGCGAGTCCGAGGATGTTGCCGACACCACCTCCGATGAAAGAGAGGCCGGCTCCGACGGAGCCAAAACCATAGGTGTCGCGGTAAACAAAGGTGAAGGTGGTGAAGAGAATGTATAGGAAGCCGTAGAGCATCGCGACGTAAAGGCACAAAATCATAACGACTGCCGAGCGGAAGAACATGCGGCCAGGGCGGATGATGGCGGTAAGGAAGATCTGGCGTGGAGTTCCTTTCTTCTTCATCCTTGATTGGTACTTCTCATTGCCGGTCTCCTTGCGCAAGCGGGCGGCTTTTCTCTCCAAGAGTACTGGTGCGTAAGATTCGCGAAGGACAAAGAAGGAGGCTAAAGTCACCGCACCGGACTATGGTGGAAAGTTAGTTGGCACACTCATGGCGTTGAAGTAGTCGACCAGAGGCACTCACGGTGATGGTAATAATCCAGAAGACCCATCTCCATCCCTTGGCCTCTACAAGGAAGCCAGCACAGACAGGTCCTACGACAGGGCCGAGAAGAGGTCCAAGACTCCAGATACTGATGTAGAAGCCTCTCTTTTCAACGGGCATCATGTCCGCAATCGACCCAGCGCCACAGGTAATCACGGCGACACCAGAAAAGCCAGCCAGGAAGCGAAAGGCGATGAGCATGTCGATGTTGGTCGCAAGTCCACAAGCAGCGGAAAAAACGACGAAAAGGGCGTTGCAGACGTGGTAAATGTAGACGCGGCCGTACAACTCGCTGAGCGGCGAGATAATCAGAGGACCCAGGGCAAAGCCGAGGACGAAGACGGAGACAACGAATGTCGCGATCGAATCGTCGGATTCGCCGAATTCGGCCATGACTTGCGGGATGCCAGGCGCAAACATCGACGACGCCAGGGGTCTAAGGTAGGGTTAGTAATTATAAGAAGGAGAAGGATCATTCTTTGAAGCTCTTCGTACGTGAGGAAGGTAATGAAGGAAAGTGTCGCGATGATGCCCAATTTGCGACTTGTCGACCAATTCATGGGGTTCTCTCGGTCTTGGTCGTCCGCCCACCATACAGAGAACTCGTTTTCCGGCTCAGCAGCATCATCGACGATTGTGTTAACGCTGTTCGCATTCGGCTCGGCGCTTGTAGCTTCTTCGTCGTCTCCTCGTAGGTTCGGTGAAGCAGCGCTTGAACTTGTTTCGGTAATGGGAAGTTTCTCTGCCTCTGGAGGCGGTGACTCGGTGACTGGTGACTTCATGCTGATATTTGATCTCTCTTGCTCTGCTGTATTGGAGGGCAAGAGATGCGAGGTGATGAGTGGTGTTGGCAATAGAGCAGAGTCGGGCTTTTCCAGTACAGTTCAGAAGAGGCGGTCGTGTAGTTGTATATAAACACCAAAGGACCTAATAGTTCAGTAAGAGAAAAGGTGGAATACGTCGGGTTCGGGTTGGTAGATCCATCCGCTGGCTCGTTAGGCGTTTCCGAGATTCATGAAAGCGATGAAAACGAATTACATATGCCCCGTCAGCTTTCGTGTGCTATGTTTTCGACAAGTGAGGACTTGGAAAAGGAAAAAGTTGGCTGCATGCCATTATCAGAGACGGACTGGAAGTCGCACAAGTCAGAATGATCTTCCTCGGTGGGCCAGGCAGTGCAGGTGGCCAGTGATCCTTGAAAGCGAGACCGAAGACCGGGGGGTCTGGTGGCAGGCCCACAAGCTACCAGAGGCCTCGTTTCGAGGAACAACTTGAGTCTAGCTAGATTGGCGTCCAATGACGGCTCTGCTGATCAACGGGTAAGCTAAAAACGTGCCAAAATTCTTGGGAAAGGTAGGTATTCTGCACGTATGTACTTGCGGCACTCGACAACGATGGCCATGGAGGGGATGTTCGTCAAGACTGAGAACTAACACACTAGAGGTGAAGGTTGCGCTTTGCATCATCGATGATCTTGAAGATTCGCAAAGTGACACTCATGGAGGAATTCAGAAGCTGAAACCCAGCGCTGAGCAGAATTCCCAGCTGCGTGGATGAGTAAGAGCCAAGTTCATCTCAAAGAAGCCCTGTCAATCGGCCATCAGTTCTCCTCACTGACCTCTGCCATCCTTACGAAGTTACGATGGCGAATGAGGGGATGAAAGTGAGCATAGTCCTTTTCGGCAAGTTGAGACCGATGATTGGGGGAAATCCTTGGAGCTGTCGTGTCTCTGCGCTCGGTTTCGGTAACGGGCATGGAGGGGGGAAATAGGAAAAGAAAAGCGTGAAATGTGATAGGGGCTAGCCGGGCTGTGCACCCACACCAATTCTTCGAGGACGCCTAGTTGGACCACACCTCGTTGTTCGAGCCTAGAAAAAGCTTAAAGGTCGTCTAGAACCCCATACCGAGCGGTACGGGAGATCCTTGACATTGCCGTATATTCCGCATTCTCCTTAATCGTATTTCGGACTTAGTACGTGAAATTCCGCGCTAAGAGTCGATGTTACACCACGCAACTGGGCCTTTCAGGTGCCAAGGGCTGACAGACTAGGATCGGATAGAAAGTGCGCTGGTCTTTGAGTTCATTTCTAATCTCTTAGTATTCTGTTCTCGCTTTTGCAAACTCGCTTACCATTAGGCGCTCTTCAGAGTCTTCACATTGAACCAGCAGGCTCGGAGGATATTTGCAACTCGATTCCTCATCCAATCTTACCTACAGGTAGGAAGTTTAGGAACATGTCCTCTACAATAGGCTCTGTGGTGAGAAACTTGCCTATTGACCAACACTTCATACTCTTTATCGCCATCATTTGACTTCATATCAAGGTGGGAACGTGTTGGAGCATTCGATAGTTATCTTAGCCCTGAGGAGAGCAACTCAGACCGGCTCCACCGAAACTACTCCAATCCGGACCTTAATATAATAGAGCTGCTAGAAGAGAGGTATCCTCGTAGCACACTCAGAGCTCTATAATCTACCATAGCATTGGAACTCGCTTCCAGTCTGCATCAGCTCAAGAGATCTAAGATTCAGGGAGAGGACTATTCTAGCAGCCGGCCTTAAGCTCAGACAACCAGTCCGAACCCCCGAATCTGGAAGCGTGAAGTAGGCTCCCAAAGACAAAAAAGCGAAGGCGAGCTTCTCATTTCCCCCACCTGACGTCATAGTGTTAGTCGGGACGGCAAGCATACAGAGACTTAGGATATTGTGTCAAAACGCAGACTTACCAGCAGCGGAGATCTGACAGTTGGCTTCCGAGTATTCGGAAAATGTGCCATGTCTCCTCAACATTTGGTTATTAGTAAGACTTTTAGTACTCTGGTGAAATATCCAGCTTGGCTATTCGAGGATGAAACAGTGGCCTTGCTCGGATGACCCTGGGTCGCTGATTGAGACCCAAAATTCCACTGTTATTGATCTAATACTGAATGAAAGCGAGTTCGCTCGCACATCCGTCATTGAAAACTTGGCGCTCGCCTTGTCTGAGTTGCGTCTGCGCGATCTACGTCAGCAATCTAACGTGCATCGTTCATCCTTGTTTTCCACTCACTTATCACGGAAATTCTCATGGCGCGAACTCACAAACTCAGATAAAAGATCAGAAAACATCCCTTTGGTGTCAGTATAATAGCCACGGGAACCCAAAAGTTTGATTACATTCTAATCAAAAGTCTTTTATACAGTTTGTTTATCAAGGTTCGTTCATCTTCAAGCTCTGTGGAGGGCTCAACTCAACTTGGCTCGGACCATAAGTGCGATCAGATTTCAGTTTAGACAATGATCTTGTGACATTGGGCCCATTAAATAGCGGTCAGAAGATATAAATAAGACTTCAATGTATTCCAATCTTTCTCAACTCCTCGGTCTGATAGCGCTTCGGCAACTTAAGTGATGGAGGTATGGTTCTAGAATCAAATGCCATTTCACTGTCTGGACAGAGGAGTAGGCTCTACTGCCCTTCATTATATCATTTCACCCCAGAGACCACAAATCACTTCACCGGCAGTGGTATATTCTACTTTTTACCGCCTGCCCGCCACATGGTAATCGGAAATACTCCGTCCGGAAGGGTAGAAACTTGGACCCCCCGCATTACTCCCGCCGGGTGTTTTTGGCGGAGCTTCTCCGCGTATCCACCTATGTCCCAGACACCCCCCCCCCCCAAACCATGGCGGCAAATGACTTCATCGTAGCTTCTCTTACTATTTAGCTATGAACATAGCAAGTCTTCAGGTGGAACTACCCCGCTTTGACGATCTGGAAAAGTAGTTCCCAAAGACGTAATCAGCACCGCAGTTGCCATAAACGTGTTGCCATTTGACATCGCTATTTACTGACGAGAACGCGGAGTAGTCCATCCGCAAAGCTGCTGTGTAAGTGAGAGTGCGGAGTAGTCCACCAGTAGAACGTTTTGAGTGTCAACATCTTGTTGGTATCGTCAAAGAACGCGGAGTAGTCCGGTCTCGGTACTGGCCCGACTTCACGAGGACAGCACCCGCTGTCGCTTTGGTAAAGAATAGTTAGCAAACGGATGTGGACAATATAACTCCAGTAATGGCTGCTCCAAAACTCTATTCAGGCGAGTCAGAGAAGCCAAGACTTTTCAAGATGAAGTCTTTGGTTTTATGGAGTCTGGCAGCTTTGCCGCTCGCCATCGTTGCGTATTTCACTGATCTCCCGGACACTTTCAACGACACAGCCGCAATATGGGCGTACATGTCATATGGCGAGCCTTCTGTGGCTGTTCTTCCAGGATCGTTTAATCGTTCCGCCATGGATGCTGTCTACAAAGGACACGCCACCGATTCAGAATTACAGAAGAGGTATGTCTCCGCAAATTTGTATCTTCCATGACGAGTCCCAGCTGAAGAAACAGGAATGCCTTCCTTAACACCACCAACTTCATAGCGTATGACGAAAAGTTCATGCATTTACTTGGACCAAAGGCGAAAATTCAGCAGGTCCAAAAGTTAGCATCCCAAAGTCACGAGGCACCATGCTTCAACAAGGAAACCAAGGAGCTCTTCTTCGTGGAGTGGGGACCCCCTGGAGGTGACAACGGTACCCACAGCTGGCAGTATCTACTGGATACCAAGAACAATACCCTCAGAAAGATCACAACAACCCCGCCAACCCTCAACGCCCACGGCTGCGTTTACTACCATGGAGCGTATCACGTCGTAACGGACGGTAGCCATGATGAGACCGGGGCACTCATTCGCATTGAACCAACAACCCTAGAGAGAACTGTGTTGTTGAATAACTACTACGAGCAGCCTTTCGCAGGTCTCAATGATCTTGAGATTGACTCTTATGGAAACTTTTGGTTCACAGATTCAAAGTCTGGTTGGGTAGGTCGTCACTTATCATGAAGGGTATATGGTTCAATATCCAGTCCCGCATGCTAACGATACCTATCTCAGGGCCGGGACTTGACGGACTTCACTCCCCCAACAAACCCAACTGTTTACATGGTGAACGGTACAACCATACGACCGAGAGTTGTGCACATTACAACAGGAAACGCCAACGGAGTTGCTGTCTCGCCACTCTATGACGGCCGTCATGTGTTGTATCTTCCCGACACCGGTGTTTCCGAAGCCAAGCCGGTGGATAGGAAGAATCCGTACGGCAATCGTGCCCTCTTTGCGTACGACGTCGGAGCCGGAGGTATTCTCACGAATGCGCGCTTCTTGAATAACCCGATTTCGTATTTCTATGACGGTATTCGGGTTTCGAGAAATGGTTGGATCTTTGTCGGGGCTGGTGACGGGGTGGATGTCATTGATCCCGTGTCTGGGCTCGCACTTGGCACTATACGTGTGGGTGGAGGAAGCAATCTGGCTGTGAACATGGCATTTGGCGAACACGAGCTATGGATCGTAGGTAGAGGCGGGGTTTGGCATGTGAGCGATATCGCGGAGAGGTTGGATCGTGACTGGTAACTACCTACTGGTGCAAACGAAGCTTCGGGTATTGGGTCCATTGGAGTTTATACATCACTTGAAAATCCAATGATCCAAGACTTGAAGCTGGGACGCCTTAATCAGGATGCAAGAAAGGATTTGTCAATCATCAAACACCAGGTATCTTGAGAACGCTCTAAATAGTATCGCTACAGTCTTTCGTCTTAGTAGACGTACACAAACTCATCATTCTGGCGATCAGTCAAATCCATGAATGCATTATCTCCCAACTGAGCACCAGCCTCATCATTCTGTGCGCTGACATAGTGGTGCTCCATGCTAAGATCCTTGATCTTTCTCGGCTTGCCGTTTGCCACTCTCTTGCGCTCTTGCATCTTGTTGGAGACAAAGAGGTTGATGACCTGCAGTCCGATGACGGCGAGTAGGGCGCAGGTGATACCCATGACTTTGGTGAGACCAGGCTTGTACTCGGGCGCATCCTTGGAGTTGAAGAGAAGGGGGCCGATGATGTTACCGGCAGAAGACCCGGCATTGTACAGGGACATGATGACGGACTTCTTGGTGGTGCCCGCAATGTTGGAGATCATCCAAGAGACAATGAGGGGGTTGCCACCGAAGAGGAAGGCAAGCATGTAGTACGCGGCGAGGAGAGGGGGGATGCTGTTCCTGGGAAGAATATAGAGCATGACCGCGCCAGTAAGGACAGGGGCGAGAACGGCTGCGAGGAAGGCTGACTTGATGCGGAATCGGTGGGCGAGGTAGGAAGCCGGGAAGATGACAATGAGCTGCACGAAACCGAAGGGGATGTTGAGCAGGGAGCTCTTCATACTGTCGAAGCCGAAGCCAGAAATGACAATGGGGCCGAAAGTGTTTGTCACAGCTGCGGTGACATTGAGGCACACGGCCATACCAACGAACAGCCAGCTCTTGGGCTCGTAGAGGGCTTCCCAGACTTGACTCCACTTGAACTCGTTTCCTCCCGTACCGGTCTGGTTAGCGCGAAGGCGCTCGATGGCCTGCAGTTTCTCGTGCTCGGTGAGGAATCGGGCAGAGGGAATGTCGCTGTCGAGGAAGTACCAGACGACGGGGGCGGTGAGGACGGTGATGAGACCGACAAAGATGAAGAGAATCTGCCACGAGTGGATGGATCCGTTAATCTGACCCAAGCCGTACGAGACAGAGGCGGCAAACATGGTTGCGAGACCGTTGGTGCCGTACCAGCATGCCACGCGCATGGGCTGCTCAGCGCGACGGTACCACTGCGAAGTAATGACGGAGAACAGAGGAAGGCAGCCGGCCTCGAACAAGCCCAGCAGGAAGCGGGTCGCCAAGAGACCTGCGTAGTTGTGGCATGCAGCCATGCACACCTGCGCGATACCCCAACCCAAGACCAAGGAGGGCATCAGGATGCGGTGCGGTACCTTGACAATGAGCCATGAAGAGAAGGGCTGCCATGCGAGCTGGGCGATGGCAGCGATGGAGCTGACCATGGAGTATTCATTTCCGGTCAAGTTGCAGTCGGTTCTGAGGCCGTGGATGGCACCGTATCCTAGGACGGACTTATCGAGAATCTGGAGGAAGTAGACCCAAATGAGGATCGAGAGGATTCGCTTATCGGTCTTCCGGCGGATGCGTTTGTTCTAACAGTGGTTGGGTCAGCTACTGTTTAATTTGAAGGGAACGTGAAAGTTGGGTCGGCTTACATCTTCCTCTGTGACCTCGATTTGCTGATCACCAATGAGGTTCGCCGCGCGGTCGGCACCCTTGGCAATGTTCTGGCCCTGGTGCTTGAGCTGTTCGACGTCCTCGGTGTTGCGATGCTCAAGCTGAGACACACCGTCTCCAGTCTTCGATGCGGTGTCCATGTTGTTTGTTGGCGGTAAGCTGCTCTCTTGATGAACGGCTGACTAAGAAAGAAGACAGGAATTCAAGAAGAGAGAACCGGCTTCTCCCTTGATGGTCGAAACATTCAGGTAGCCAAGATGGGCGGCGATCTCCAACCATCTTATACCTAGACCCTGTTTATCGTCGTATCGCCGGCCGCGTCGTAGGCCGCTCAGATGTTCGGCGAAAAGCTCGAGCCAAGCTCGTCATGAGCAACATTTGACCGTACGAGGTGCATCTAACCCATACCATCTCATCCAATAATTGCTTCAGATAGGCGGGTGTGAGAGGATCCCCCCATGGGGACCTACCCGTTCCCCTCAGTCCAGCACCGCGCGCTAAGCAAGTTTGTAGGTTGGCATGGCACGCATGGCTGGCACCGCGTGGAGAGACCAGACGAAAATGGCACTAATTCCCCTCACGAACCACACGTTGCCCACCTTCGGGAGGTGGGGACGGAATGTTGGGGATGGAGAGAAGTCCGCGTGCGGTGAAGGGCAGGTTACCTGACTAGCCATGCATAAAACCGTACACAAATGGGATAATTATGACCTAGTGCGGCCTCGACTGGACAGACCTCGGCGGTGTCTTGCAAGTTGGAGGTGTGCGAGAGGACTGACAGCTTGATGCCCCCACGCAGAGGCTGAGGATTAACTTTGGCACCAAATAAGGATGACATGGTGTCTGTCAACTGACCCGAGACTGTGGACGTGTTCAGCTTTGCTATACTCTTTTCAGATGGGAGACTATCTAGTGCCCGGACTCCCTGAGAAGACGAAGGTTTGTGCCCGTCAAAATCACATAGATGGTGTCTAGCGTCGGGGTAGCTATCCCTAGTTCCTTGCCCTTTCGGTAGGGGTAACCGAGGATAATGTCCACTTCCATCGGCCGACCGGCTTTGAAGTCGTTTTGCATGCTGCTGCCGATGGGATGCATGGCCAGGATCTTGTTGATCAGCTTGTCGACCAGGTCGTAATCGATGGGCACCTCGCATGCCTTAGCGACATCAATAACTTCTCTCATCAATCGTTGGGTCATTGGGGTAGCGTCTGGTGAGGAGCTAAGCCACGAGTGCGTGTCGAGCAGTGTTAATGTCGTGAGCGAGTTCCATGCTGCATTCCAAACAACCTTTTCCCAGCGTTGTACTTGGATATTGGGCACCACCTGGAATACTGTCTTGCCCTCTGTCAATAGAGATGCAAATTCGTCAAGTCGCTGCTTCTCCACCCCCTGGTCGGTATCATTTGGGTACAATCCTATTTGCATATCCTCGGACTTTGTGTGTTTGATGTGCCCAGGCTGCGGCTGAGCGGCTCCGGTCCAGGTCTGCCTCATTAGCACAAGCTCATCCCAGGTTCTTGGAGACTCTCCCCCGCGACTTACCACGCATGAAATAATCGTTGTGTGGGGGAACGCTTTGCGAAATGGCACTTCGTTACCGACACCATTCTGAATAATGACGATCGTGGATTTCTCCGCATCTACTGCCGGGGCAATTTCCGCGGGGACTGCATCCTGCGTGATGGCTTTGTGGGCGCAGACAATGTAGTCAAACTTCGCTTCCGCCTCTGCGGCATTCCTTACGACTTGGGGGTATTAGTTTTGAACAGCTGGATTGACAGGGTTCAGGCCGTGATCTTGCTCCCCAGCGGCTACCCCGGATTTCATGTGCATACCTCTGTAAGGACGAACGTTATGCTCTCCATGGTTTTCGCTCGCAATAGCGATTCCATTTTCGTTCACTGCGCTGTAGTTTGACCTCGCAACAACCGTTAATCTAACCCGCGGTACTCTGCTGAGAATAAACGCGTAGAATGACCCAATGCTGAGCAGATGGTGTCAGCTTCTCATCCGAATAGGTCTTCAGGGTGAGTGACCCACGCCCCCAACCCGTAGAGGAGGACCTCGATTCGCTGGCCTTGTGCAGTCATTATCGAAATCTTGGTGCTCGTTCGACCTCGTCTCGGTGAATCCTCACTGGTGGCGCAAAGACTCCGGTTGGCGTTCAGCTGTGCTCTGTAGTATGCACTTCTGTTATGGCCCCCTCACTCAGCCTAGTATTTGTACACTAATCCGCCAGATTCCTGCTGCGAATACCGGCCGGCAACTGACTTCTGCTCCCGATGTTCGGTGCGGAGGCGGAGAAGCCACCAGGACACTTACCCCAGAGATTGATCCTTTGCAGCGTCTGTGACCTTCAGATCGGCGAACCTTGTGTCGTGTGCCCGTGTATCGTGGGGGAACGGGCGAGGGAGAGACTCCTTGGGGGTTGGATGGGGGTCGCCGGGCGTTGCATCCGGTGCTTGTGACCAGGGGTTCGGACAGGTGTCCGACGTTACGCCCCATCACCCCATCTTTCCCCCTCATTTCTCTGCCATCGTCCTGGTCCGACGCGGGGAAGCCGGTACTGAACCTTCTTTTCGTGATCGGAGGCCTCAGTGTGGTGAATCTCGGTCGACCTTCGTCTCGGGTCCGTGGGGTATTCAGGGGGGCTTCAGCCATTTGTTTGTCCTTTGGAGCATGATATCATCGGTGCGACTGATGGGTTCAAAGCTCGTAGCATCGTGTCTACTCTACCCCTGGGTGGATTTGCGCTGCAAAACGGCGAGAAAAACGGGCCAGGTAATTGCACGCAGAGAAGAGTTTTCACTCGGCATATTTGACTTTGAATCATGTTAAATTTGACCGTAGTCCTAGTAAGCATTGGGATGTTGCTTTCAATTACCTAGATGCTTGACTTAAAATTTTGTGGTTGCGTACTGTCTAACCGCAACTCTCTCTCACCGTAGTTGTGAAGAAGACCTCTTCCTCTCCAACTTTTCGCCCCAAATTCTCGCACAATTCGCAATCTGCAACGCTGTTTCTCGGATTCTGGTTGCTTGCCTGACAAGCCTGCTTCTCTCCGAAGGCGTTTTGGGTGTCTTTCCGGGATCTGACTCTTCCTCCTTGATCGTATGACCCCATTCGTCTGCCGACCTCGCCACTAATCGGGCGGCGTCTTCGATTTTCTTCCCCGGCGGCTCTGATCCGTCCTCAGTAAAGCACTCTTGGGGTTGCGTTGCGATCACGCCCGCAATGAGGTTCCACACAGCAATCAGATCCTCCTTTGGTATGGTTGGTGATATCGTCGCGGAGATGGACCGTCGTTCGGCGGAATAGCTCCGTACCGGCCTCGCCGATGATCCTGGCCGATCTGATGTGCGTGCCAGCAGACAATTACTGCACGCACCGTTGTTGATGCCCGGCAATTTGACGCACTCTAGTGAGATCCCGTCTCCCCTTCGGCATTTGGAACATTGGTCCTCGGAGCCTTGCAGGTCTCCTCGTTCATGAAGCATAACTGCCTCCAACACAGGCGCCTGTGAGATGTCTGGTGATGCCCGGCCGGGCCTGACCCTCCAGGCCCTCCGTACTGGGAGAGGACCTAGAACCTTCATGGTCTCTGTAGGCGTGCTGGATGTTTGTAGGCCTTGATCTCCAGCATATTGTGCAGTTTCTGGAGCTGCGTCTCTGATGGATTTGTGTCGTCCTCTATGCTCGTATGATCCTTGGCGACTCCCTACCCCGCTATGTGCTGGTGCGGTCTTCGAGCTGATCTGACCAACGCTTGCTCCTGCTCCCGTCCGGACTCTCGATGCCAGTGTTGTGGAAGGCATCGTGGCCTGTTCTTTCTGTGTAATTTCTCCCGCCCTTGCCAAAAGTTGAAGTGTAATATCTGCGATTTCCCGTTCATCACCCATCACGCTCAGGCAAATGAGGGCATATCAAGAAGAGTGATGCTGTTTGACCGACCGACCGAGCGAACCACCGAACATGAAAGGAAAAATAAACAACCCACCAGGAGAGAAAAAAAGAATTCAACCTCGTGATGCGGACCAGGTGGTCCACATACTCCAACGTACGAAAAAGCCACTTATAAGGTCCGGTGAAGAAGCCCGAAGTCTTGCCCCCAGTTACGTAATTCAATTGGTCATCTGTTCTACCGCGGGCGAGCTCGGAGGTGGTGGGTGATTGGCCGTCAGGAATTGCCGTGACTGTCAGATTCATGAGACGTTCTGGACTCTTGGAGATCTGCTGTCTCTGCACTGGGGGAGTCAGGCACTTTTGGTTCTGGGTCTGGCTCCAAGCGAGCCCTTCGTCCACGCCTTGTATGTTCGGGGTCCCCATGAAGGGTATACAGCGGGATACAGAAGCGCAGCATGGCTCCCAAATGAGCCAGGACGAGAAGGGTGTTCATCCAATTCAGCAACTATCCCACTAGTCGTCATGGGCTATTCCCCGATTGGATCAAGTGGCAATATCCGGCTCTTTTTTCCGTTGCCAGTGTGGGAGGCTCGCCCGAGAAGTCGGGAATGGCAACCCATCCCCGCGGAAAGATGCCTCGAGTGTCTCACATGGTCGCGCATGCAAAGCTGAGAGAGCGGCCCTGGGCCGCTGGGGCGCCTGGGGGTTGGTCGGGAGCACAGGCGGTCACCAAGAAAAGGTTGAGAGGGCAAACGTGGGTTGGGTTACCGAACATAGCCGGGCCAGCGTCGATCCATTTGCAGAGTGTGAGATGAAATCTGACCGGACATACGCCAGGCCGGGTAAGGGTTAGCGGAAGCGCAAGAGAAGCGAGATGGGTTTGTTCTACTTTTGGCTTCGTACCTCGCATGGTCGCGTGCAAACAAGAAACAACAACACCCCCACGGGGAAGAGCAAAGTCTCTGGCATATGGTGGTTTTTCTGCGTCACACAAAACAAGAGTCTCCAACCAGCGACAAATTCAGCGAAGTCGCGTGTGTAAGGAAATAAAAACCACGCCGGTTTCCACCGCGGATGTCACCATCTCGACTGATCAACACGCTGATTCTGGCCCGGAACAGTCCAGATACATGATCTGCTTGGGCAAACCATTGTGGAGAAGAAACAGTGGAGTTGATGGGGTTGGTAGGTGGGAAAACCATAATTATTTGGTACCAGAAACCGCCCCCCGCGGGTTTAGTCTCCGAGACTTTCGTTTCCTCCGTTCTGTGGGGGGTAGGGAGGAGGCTTTTTGATGGCCTCGGACCACGAAATAGTTTACCATTAGACTCGTCTTGGAAGAGGTGCCGGCGTGGGGGTTCGGACTACGTGGTTACATGGGTCGTTCCTACGGCTTATGTTACCTATTTTCGTGCCTGACTTACACCGACACAAGGGAAGGGGGCGAAAGTCGATCCCATGATCATCCATGTTGCGCTGGCCTGTCTGACTTCCTTGCATTCTGAGTTTGGATGGATTCTTTGTTACAAAAGCTTTGCTCGCGAGTAAGCTAATCTACCAAAACTCCCCTCACATCCCACCGCTGCTCCTAAATCTGCTCCCACAAACTACTTGCTCCCTCGTGCCACAAACCCGCAGAATCAGTCCACAATGTCTCCCTCAGCAAACGGCGGTCCCGCCGGTCACAACGGCAACGGCACACAGCACGGAGCACGGCCGGCTCTGACTCCCGGCCTCTACGTCCCGACAGTAGCATTCTTCCGCTCCGACGACTCAGTAGACGTCGAAACCACACGCTCCCACGCCGTCCGTCTCGCCAAAGCCGGCGTCGCCGGCCTTGTGACCCACGGCTCCAACGGTGAAGCAGTGCACCTCGACCACGACGAGAGACAACTCATCAACCGCACCACACGAGCCGCGCTCGACTCGGCCGGAAAGACTGAACTGCCTCTGATTGTCGGTTGCGGCGCGCAGTCGACAAGAGAAACCATCCAACTCTGCAAAGAGGCTGGTGCATCAGGAGGCGACTATGCGCTCGTCCTCCCACCAGCTTACTACGGTGGCCTCCTCACCACCGACCTCATCCTACAACATTTCCGCGAAGTCGCAGACGCAAGTCCGGTTCCCCTTCTCATTTACAACTACCCTGGCGCCTGCAGCGGCCTCGATCTCAACTCAGATACCATCATCAACCTCTCGAGTCACCCCAATATTGTCGGCGTAAAGCTGACTTGCGGTAACACTGGCAAACTGGCGCGGATAGCTGCTGCTACAGCCCCCAAGAAGGGTGACAACAGCACGACACCATTCCGGACATTTGGCGGTAGCGTCGATTTCACTCTGCAAACACTCGTCGTCGGTGGACATGGCATCATCGGTGGAACCGGAAATATTGCACCTCTTGCTTGTGTGAAGCTGATGCAGCTTTGGGACGAGGGTAAGTTGGCAGAAGCGAGAGAGCTGCAGGCAGTTGTGGCCCGCGGTGACTGGACTGCTATCCAAGGAGGATTTGTCTCAGTCAAGGCAGCATTGCAAGAGTACTACGGCTACGGAGGGCTTCCGAGGAAGCCTTGTACATTGCTCGAGGGAGAGAGCCTGACAAAACAGATTGATGGATTTTCTGAGTTGATTCAGGCTGAGAAGGCATTGCAAAAATAGATGCATGTAACAAAGTGGGTTTTGGCTTAGGTTTCAAGAGAATCATAGCGTATTGATCATTGAAGGAGCTTTCACCTCAAGATACTGCCAAGACAAGCGATGAAATGAATGACGTTTATCGCGTCCCAATTCCCCGTCGACAAATTGACCATCACTTTGTCGCCCACTGCATGCACTTTGGCTGATAGTCAGTGGATTGGTTGGGAGTCTCCCAATCTAAAAATGGGTGCTGTAGACTTACGACTCCGGCAATACGCGGCGCCCTCTCAATCTTTCCGTCTCAATGCCTATGCATAGATAATGTTGTTCAATCTTCTGACACAGCTTCGACAAGAAGCTCACTGCGGTTTTTCTTGCTTCAAGATCATAAGAGCCCTGTAAACACGCCCGTTTCCGCCGTATTTGGTATCATCTTGGAGAAAATCTGTCTCGATCACAAAGCCAAGTCGCTTGTAAAGACTCACCCCCGCCTCCATAGCATGTATGAAGATGTCGAGGCCCAGTTCTTTGGCTTGTGATATGCCACTTTGGACCAAAGCAGTGCCTATGCCTTTGCCTTGGTTGTCCGGGTGAACCGCCAGGTAGTCCAGTCCTACGTGACAAAAATAATAAGCACTTGGAAGATGGAAGCCACAAGGTAGCGGAAAAACACACGCATGTAAGCTCTCCTGCTTAGAATTTCATCCTCCGCCTCCCGGATAGGGACAAGTAAATCGTCCGACTCCTCGTTAGGATCCCAATGAGCTGTCGCGGCAACGCGCCGGATCTCCGCTTCTTCGTCTTGACTGACAGACGGAACCACGGCATCGGGCCAAGCCGGGGCCCCGCCGATGCTCTTGGCGCGGGATGCGGGCAGAATCCACCGGGCATATCCCACTATGTGCCCGGTGACGGGATCCACGGCCTTTTGATGTCGCTTCGGATTGGGGTCACTAATGAGGTTTCGCGGCGTTCGCTTGGCTATCTGCATGATGTGATACTCGAGGGTCCGATGGCGCCAGGCGAGCTGCCAGTGGGAATCTGCCCAGAAGGCGGGGATGTTGTTTCTGGTCAGCTCATGGCTGTCGGCCACAGTGCAGCCCGTAATGATGATTTTGGATGTAGTTTCCATTGTCTCAACTCGAGAAAACAGCGCAAGACCATGCTGCTTCTTGAGACTGAAGCACCGCAGCAAAGCGATAACTTTGCAGCTCATGAAAACTTTGGACAACGTGGTCACTTGGTAGGTTTTCTGGTGTGGCCCGGCTATCGGCACTTTCGAACTGCATACAGCACCACCCCTGCATCTCAGGCCTTGAACTTCACTCTGTCAGCCTGACTATTGTCCAGCTTGGAGTTCAGTCAAGTTTTCGAACGACAATACAGTCCTTTGGAACAACGGAAAGGCGTGTAACAGAATTGAACAAGCTGATACGGATCGAAAGACACCCGCTTAATGTACCTTCGATTTCGAAGTGCTACAATCACATGCACTTATCACTCGAGGCTTGAGACTTTCCTTGGATATGTTCATGAATAAAATCTCAAAGTGTCTGTTTAGAGCTTCAGCATTCTGTCTCTCGACCTTGTCTCAAGACGTCAATCCTTCTTCAGCTATGATGAAGCTTTTCAAGCACTCACAGGCCTCGACAGGCTGGGAAAGTCCGTTCGTCTCTCCCCGCTTTCCCCAAGTCCCCAACGCTTTCGGATCAGTGTCGCGTGACAGTCATTCCCGCCTCAACTCACGATGATTCACCTCGTTGCCATGCATGAACCTCCTTCCGTCTCTTTGCACTCGTTGTCAAATGATCACCATGGCAATTCTTGTCATCCATCACCCAATGAATACCGCTTCTTCAAACCCCGCATCAAACCCCGTGTTTCGTGCCCCGACCTAAACCCGTCTAAACTCTGACGACGTGCCAACAAGGGCAGACTATCCCCGGAAAAGGAAACGAGCTGACCCCCACGGAGGGATCTATGTATTTCTGGCTTGTCTGGCGTTTCTGTTCGGGGCCTAGCCCGACGTCCGAGCGGCTCTGCGGGTCCGGATCTGCGGGGCTGACCCCCATCCATCCCGTAATTCATGCGGGGAGCGGGTCGGACGCGAGACCACGAATCCGCGAAGAGGTTGTGTGTACTTGATCGGAAATGGTCTGATGCGTCTCTAATGGTTGCTCCCCTCTCTTCTCTCAAGGGTTGGCATCTCAAGTCAGCTTTCCCCGCAGGTACCTACGCTCGCATACCATCAGACGAGACGGCGCACGAATCACCTGAGTTTGTCTCCATGCAGAACCCCGTTTCGAGCCGACAGTCGGATCTAGCTGGCGGAAAATCATGCGGGTACGACTGGGCACCGACGTGGGGGTCTATGAATGTGTCGTAGGTAGATGGGGGAGGCTTTACATCACCATGAAGCTCATCAGGGTAGTAACTCCAATAAGCATATGAAGAATATTCAGGAGGCAGGAGTATTGCAAGTTGTTTGGCAACATTTGTTCAGACAACCACAACAATGTCAACCATTCTGGAAAAGCTCTTCTCTCTAGAGGGACGCACAGCTGTAGTAACGGGAGGCACACGGGGAATTGGACAGGCCATGGCAGTGTCCCTTGCAGAGGCAGGATCAGATATCATCCTCGTTCAGGTAAGAAACATTATCATCTGCATGTGTAGCTTGATGTTGACAAAAGGATAGAGGGACGAAAGCAACACTGAAACGAAAACACAAGTCGAGGCCCTGGGCAAAAAGGCCATCATCTACACAGCAGACCTTTCAAATCAAGAGGAGGTGGAGAGCTTGTCCGGGCGAATTTTAGCCGATGGCCACGATGTCAGCATTCTAGTTACTTGTGCCGGCATTCAGCGCAGACATCCCGCGCACAAGTTTCCCATGGGCGACTGGGACGAGGTCCTCCAAGTCAACCTGAAGACAGTCTGGACTCTTTGCCGAGACTTTGGCGCTTACATGCTCACACGCAGCCCCAACTCGGTGAACGGCCACCGCGGTAGTATCGTCAACGTGGCGTCGCTCGTCAGCTTCCAGGGAGGCATCACGGTGCCGGCCTACGCAGCGGCCAAGGGCGGCATAGCACAGCTGACCAAGGCGCTGAGCAACGAATGGGCGAGCCAGGGCGTCAACGTGAATGCCATTGCACCTGGGTATGTTGCAACAGACATGAATGAGGCGCTGATCAACAACCCGGAAAGGGCGGCGAGCATTCTAGCCAGGATCCCCGCGGGGAGATGGGGTACCCCGGATGACTTCAAGGGTGCCACGGTATTTCTCGCGGGGGCGGGAAGTTTGTACGTTTCGGGAGAGCTGCTGACTGTCGACGGGGGCTGGATGGGTCGATAATGTTTCAAGATGTGTTCTTAGTCAAGTAGAGATGTGAGAATACAACATAAAGTAACATCTGGTCCAGAATAGTATCGACGTGATCTACAAACTCAAGCACTGCTCATGGGACGACATCCTGAGCAGGGTGAACCCCACGTCTTGATGTGTCTTGCAAACAACGACACTTGCTTTCCCCGCTTGGCCACAGGTCTGACTGACGCCCGATTCCAGATCGCCGTGGAGCCAGGGAGAACTCCTCTAATTAAACATGGTGTGATGTGGCGTGGGGGTTCGGGCATTTTCCGATCCTCTGATGGTGTAATGTCATGCGTTCACGCCCATCAGCCTAAGGTTGGATATGCTGTGACCTCTAGAGCCAAATAACGTTGAGTGGCAAGAGTATCGTAAGCAAAATCCTCCAACAATAGCTCAAAGCACAACTGAATTCGCGGAAATGAGTTAGCAACAGCTTGAGTGGACTATTCGAAATGATAAACTAGCAGTGATTTGGCAAACAATATGCTTCCAGATGGCTGTCATATTTTCAGGGATGCTGATGACAGCAATTGGACTAATGCCGTTGCTAAAACTACAGTATGATTCAAACCATTGAGCCTTCCAGCTACCATTCTCTGATGCTGCCGTCGGGGCCATGGAAAACCTTGCACTGCCACGGCTCCGTCTCTTTGGAAATTTTGATCACCATCTCCTCATCGATATCAATGCCCAACCCGTAGCCCGTCGGCGCTTTGACATAACCGCCCTCGATATCGAACACCGTGGGATTCTTCAAATATGTCAAGAGATCAATATCACCTGCCTCGGTATTGTAATGCATGCCGAGACTCATCTCGAGAATAGAAAAGTTGGGTGCTGATAGGGCGACCTGTACGCTTGCCGCAAAGGCGACGGGGCCAAGGGGGCAGTGGGGTGCAATTGCCACATCATAGGCTTCGGCCATAGTAGCGATGCGCTTCGTTTCAGAGATACCTCCGGCATGAGCGATATCTGGTTGAAGGATGTCGACGCTGGCGTCCTCAAGAAAGCGTTTGATGTCCCATCTCGTGTAGAGACGCTCACCAAAAGCAATCGGAATCGTCGTCTGATTCGAGAGCTGCTTGATGGCTTCTGGGTGCTCGCAAAGGAGGGGCTCCTCGATGAATAGGGGCTCATATGGTTCTAGAGCTCTGGCTAGCTGCTTGGCCATGGCCTTGTGCAGGCGGCCGTGGAAATCCAGACCAGCGTCGAGACCAAGAGCCTTGACTTGTTTGAGACGCTCGACTGTGTCTTTCAGGACTCTGGGAGAGTCAACCCAGTTCATGTCCTCTGTTGCGTTCATCTTGACGCATGTCAGACCTTGAGCAATGCGCTTTTTCCTGTACGAATTGTTAGTATCGGGACGGTATGCCTAAGAAAGGGTTACTGACGCTGCTGCCTCAACATCTGATGGTCTGTCGCCCCCAATCCAGCAGTACACTTGAACCTTGTTACGGACCTGGCCGCCTAGTAGCTCGTAAATTGGAACTTTCAGGTTGCGACCTATGAATCATGGCTAGTTAGACAGTCTTCTCGGCGATGTGAGGTCTTCGTGCAGAATATTGCACACACCTTTCAGATCCCACAGCGCAATGTCAATGCCTGACATTGCTGACATGAAGACGGGGCCTCCTCGATAGAAGCC